TGAGTGCTAGGAGCATCGACTGACAGAGGCCCCCGGTCGGGGTGGCAGGCGGTCCATCACACAACATATCCAAAAATCACCCAGATCGGTTCATGGGTTCAGGAAATTCCTGGAAGTTATAATTTGACTGACCGCACACATGGCCCCCTAGCCAAAAATAGTTTCAGGGCTTTCACAGCTAAGTCCCCCTGAAGTCTATTCACGGTTTTGGTCCATGCGAACGGCCGCCAGGGCGCTAGCGTTCAATTCTATGAGTACGAATGAAAAGTGCTGAACCATGGGTGTTTACAGTCACTGACCTGGCCCATAGTTGGTGGGCAGGAGACTGGCAAGCAGGCTCCTCCAAGAGCTTGTGGCAAACTCACCCCTTCCTCTTTAGGCTCCACCTTTTCATCTTAAAGCTCCATCTTTTCCTCTTAAAACTGCACATCTTCGTACCTAATCCTTTAAAGCACACACACTCTCACTGACCCATACACGCACTCGTTGGCACACACACTGTTTAACCAACACACACTTTTACTGACAGACAACATGCCCTCACTGATACACGTACACTCACTGACAGACAGTCATTGTCAGACACACTGTTTAACCAACACACATGTTCACTGACAGACAGACACTGGCACGTACATGCTCACTGACAGACACACACTGGTAGATACACACTGACATTCACACAGACTCAATGACAAACACACAGACGTCAGTGACAGACACAGACTCACTGGTTTGACAAACACACATTCACTGACTGTCACATCCACTCTCACGCTGAAGACTCCAACTTATCATCAGGCATCCTGGGTCCCGGTCCTTGCACCGCCGCCCGGACAGTGTCTGGGGCCCGGGCACCGGACTGCGACCCTGACAGTATGGCCGTAGGCACTTGGAGTTCGTGGAGTGGTCTTTGCAGCTTTCCTGATCTGCCCTGTATGTATCCTGTCCTGCCTGGATTATGCAGCATACAAGAGTTCCTGCATCTGGACTGTCTGATTCTTGTCTTGGAGGGGGTCGATCTGCTAAGCAGTTCGGTGGTCTCAGCAGGTGTCATCTTGTGATGCTTTGTTCCTGGTTCCGGTTCCAATTCCGGTTTTGTGGCAGTGCTCCTGTTCTGGCGTGACCTTCATTCACTGCTGGTGGTTCCTATGCAGGAGGCCTTTCTGTTGGGGGATCCTTGCCTCCGTGGAAGTCAAGAGGACTTTGTTGCAGGATCGGCTCGCCATTCCTGGTGTCTGCCTGGGACCTGTTGGGAGCGTCCGTAGGTCGCTCCTTAGGAGGGGAGTTATGTCACATCCAGTTCCTAGCTGTGGATCATTCTGGCTATGGCTTCTGGTATCCAGTACTGTTTTTACAATTCTTTGTTTTTCTTGTTTTCTATTCTATGTCTGGTTTTCTTTATGCTGGGTTTCTGGGTTCATTCTTATATTCCGTCCCTGGATTTCCCAATCTCTTGGATTCATTTAAATGTTTGTTTTACGTTGCCACGCCTGTTTGTTTTCCATCACTCCTTTTTGTTTCAGTATCCTGCAGGCAGCTGCTCAAGTCTTCTGCCCTTTCTTGCAGGTAAGTGCTGTATATGTTTTCTTTGGTTGTTTTAGCGAACATTAGGCAGAGTAGGACCTGCCAGATATGGGGTACATTGGCATTGTTGGCAGGCTTATGCAATGTATGATCATATAATGTGACTAAATCCCCATGATTTTCATATGTAGTACTTAGTTATGTCTCCTCTTGTTTTACCTTGTATCTCTTGTCTTGTTTTATTTTGTCTTGTATTCCCAGTTCATGTACAGTCCTGTCCTGCTCTGTTCTTATTTTCCTCATGTCTTGTGTACATGTTCTGGGTTCTGCTTTCTATCCTTCTCCGGTTCTGGGTTCTATTAGTTCTGTCTTGTTTTCATGTTTGGTGCCTATCTCTAGTCTTGCCTTGTTTCTGTACTGGATACATTCCTGCTGCAGTACCTCCCTATTCAGCTCTGGGAGGTCTGCTTAATTCCTGCTCCTAGTTCTTGGGATCCGCATAAGCTGACTCAGGGTTCTGGTATGTGGCTGCACAAATGCTGGTGCTCAACACCAGGGGGCGTGCGGTTACCCTGCACCAGACCCTGACCTATCCACTCTCACGCTGAAGACTCCCACTTGTTATCAGGCATACTAGGTCCCAGTCCTCGCACCGTGGGCACCGGACCGCCACCCTGACACTGACACACACTCATTCATTGACACACATGCTCACTGACACACTGACAGACACACAAACACTGACTCTCATTGATTTGACAGACACTCACCAACACACACACATTCACAGACTTGGTCAGGGCCACACTACAATGGTGCAAACCTATAAACCAACTCTCAAGCCAGCTCCGCTCCGCAGGGATGGCCCACAGATGAAGGACACCAAGGTCCCTCATTGTCACTCACAACAGCACTGTGCACAGAATCTCATCGGGGCAGAAACACCCACTCTTTCTCTCAACTTAACCCCTGGCCCAACTGCACAGCAACCAGCCAGTCCCAGGACCCATCAAACGTGGAACCGTTTGTGCCGATAACTGGATCGGGGAATCCCTCCGTCCCCTGACTAGAGCAACGGAAGGCTATAATCTCTGGTGGTCCGCTGGCTGCCTCACAGATGTTTACTGTTTATGTTAGTTTACTTTTGTTCACCAAATTTTGCCTTATGATGACCACATTAACAAAAAGCTTGGTAACATGTGTACGGCTACTATTGTGCCTATTCCTAGACCCCCTCTTGGGCAATGTGGTATACAGCCTTTGTCCTGTCACACAGGGAATGTGACTCTAAGCAATGCGAACAACTCCTCTTGGTGCCCCCTTCATCAGGAGTAATCTCCCTTCTCGAGTAGTCCACAATATATTTTGATACATACCCCATTTCTGATGAAGGTATTTATCTTGGCATATTCCTCTGTGGCGGACACCCCGATGGGAAGAGGCGAGACAAGGCTCTGTGTGAGGGTAAAACTGGAAATGCTTTAATGGGAGCCACTGCTGGCCTTTTTTCAAGGGGTTTCTGGTAAAACATTCCAGGGGCATTCCCCACTGGACCTGAGACGGGACAGCAACATAAGCACACACATAATTACATTACCTCTCAGGTCCAGGACAAGCATAATAAAAATACATCCAAATGTTGATTTAACAATATGATATCACATTAAGAACTATATACCCGGGCAGCCTGGGTCTGAGCGCCCAACATATGTCGAAATCACTCAGATCCCACGAATATAGGTGAAACGCCACCGGGGTATAGTTTAGACGACTGCACACGAGGTGCCTGCCAAAAATAGTTCAACGAAATCAGGCTGTGCGGTCGGTCTATTTTGGGAATATCAAACTCACAGTTTTATATACAAAACATAGTTCGTGAATATATTTCCAGAGTATTTGTAGTTTGAATAATGTTTTCACCGAATGCCGTTTCGTTCATATAATTAGTGCCGAACATATTTGCGTATGGAAGTCTTAGCAGTGTTCGCACCGTCTAGTGTCCGATTTTAGTTCCATACACTCCATGACCAAACACCGCTGTCTGTGTTCGTGTTCCAAGATGGCCGCCGCCACGTGTTTGCACATACAAATGACGACCACCCAGCCGACCGTTTAGAATGTTGAGGTGCTTGCGGCTACAGAGGTGTTAGCAAAGTTAATGGGGTACCGTCCGCACATGGCACCGTCCGCACATGGGTGGTCGGTCGTTCGGTTGATTATTTGGTATTCGGTAAGTTGAAATATGTAGTGGATGTATTTCACCATACAAACAGGCGAAAGGAAAAAAAGCTGTAAAATCCAGGGACAGGGAGGTCTGTCACATCCTCTATATCGCATGTTGTCACAAATGACTTACCTTGCCACTCCTGATAATCATCTTGTAATGAGCACAACCACAGCTTGGAATCTAGTATATAATACCTATCATCTCAGGTTTTGCTTCTATTTCTTACATATGCTGTTTCTGCTTAGCCTAGGAAGTCATACATGTACACTCTTTTAATTTTGATTGCTTATTCATATTCTATAACTGTCTTTTGGGGTAACACTGTTACCATACATTATAATTGAATGCTGTTGTGTATTTTGCATGCCTATGTTGTACTAAATGCACAACTAAAATAGAGTTCCACACTCATAAAGCCCTTAATCTGGTCCTGCTGAGGGGGAACTTATTACTAACAGTCAATAGTTTAACATTTCTATTATATTGCAGCATATTACAGTAAATTTTATGAACACCAAATTGTCGTATGCACTAAATGAATTGTATTATTTTGTTCTCCTCCCCCTTTTTATTATTTTTTTGGGGTGCATCTGGCATTCTGGATACTACGTGTACGTTCTCATTATCAATGGCGTTAAGCATATGATTTAAGATTTATACTGTGGCTGGGACCCTTTTCAGCACAACTGGATGGACTGTTAAGATTGTTAAATGTATTGTTATTCACAAGGCATTTAATTTCGATACATTACCCTGCATATTTTCCTCATTTCTATTTTCTGTGCCTATATTTTGTAAAGGAAACATGTAACTTTTTTATTTTTATATTCTTTATTTTTGTTGTGCAAAGAATAATGCATGAGCATACAATGCCAGTTCAACACTGACCATTTCAGGAATAACAATCGGTGTGAAATTCAATATGGCATGTAGATTGACAGCACATTTTTATATATCATGAGAATAATTAACTTAACGTAGTATATTTTAGGTTAATGAATGTGAGGACTAGAGGCCTGGTTAAGTGGTATGGAGTGCCCCTCAATGGGGGTGAGGGATCAATGTTTTCGTATATGTATGGTTAGCACTGGGATCGAATGGTTAGATTTAGTGCTGATCATATATAGGTTTGTTGCATACTTGAGTTGATTGTGTAGACCGCAAAGTCATAGCATATATAGGATAGATGTAGAGTCATGGGTTAAAGGACCACTATAGGCACCAGACCACTTCAGCTCAATGAAGTGGTCTGGGTGCCAGGTCCAGCTAGGATTAACCCCTTTTTCTATAATATTAGGGTTAATCCAGCCTCTAGTGGCTGTCTCATTGACAGCCGCTAGAGGGCTTCTGCGCTTCTCACTGTGATTTTCACAGTGAGAAGACGCCAGCGTCCATAGGAAAGCATTGTGAATGCTTTCCTATGAGACTGACTGAATGCGCGTGCGGCTCTTGGCGCGCATTCTGCCGAAGAGGAGGAGGAGAGCTCCCCGCCCGGCGCTGGAGAAAGAGGTAAGTTTAACCACTTTCTCTCCATCCAGCCCGGCGGGAGGGGGACCCTGAGGGTGGGGGCACCCTCAGGGCACTATAGTGCCAGGAAAACGAGGATGTTTTCCTGGCACTATAGTGGTCCTTTAATTAAGGTTCGGCTCAAAACAGTGGGGATTGGTGTGTGTAAGGAAACTCCTTTAGGTGAGCTGATTCAGGTGTCATGTAGGGGTAATACCTCTCCTTGCTGCGTACTTTAAGTGTGGTTTATTATCTCTGGTTGTTACAAGAGGTAGTAAACCGCTCAGGGGTTCATGATCAAGATTGTACCATTTGTATTATGTGTGTATACCTGTTCCCTGAGGCTAATGGTGTTGCTGGAGGTGTTATGTATCAGTTTAGTGGTCTGCATACTTAGGAATACGGTTGTTGTGCCTTGCCCTCTGTGCCCATATCATAACATATAAAATGCATTTAAAACAGTCTCAGGTAAAAATAACATTAACATCAGAACATCAACAGAGAGTAAAACAAAATATTTGTTTTGGATAGATGCAAGCCTGTCTCTGCAGGCAGACAGAAGCCGGTCAAGTAGTGGCAGCTACATAGGCGTCTGGTGTTGTCCCTTGGGGTCCGAATTGAAGCACTGCCACAGGATTCCACGTGTGGGTTGGAGAGGTAGTAGTGTGTGGTCGTACTTTGACCAGGAACGCCATTGGCAGTGCCAGTGTTTGCAGAAGATCCTTTGCTTCCTTGAGATACTGGATAGGAAACGTTGTGAAGCCTGGGTGAACCCTTACTATGCGCAGCATTTTCCATCTGTACGCGATGCCTTTAGACCGGAGGACAGATGTGAAGGTCTGAAGCGATCTTCGCCACACTATGGTGTTCCCGGACAAGTCCGCGTAGTGCGATAGCGGCATGCCCACGAAGGTGTATGGTGAGTGATTCCTGACTGCATTCAGGACATCTGCTTTATCCTTGCCGCTTTGGAATCACACTAAGAGTTCTCTCGGTGCTGAGGTTGGTGCTTTGGCTGTTTTTTGCAGTCAGAATAGCCTTTACAGTGCCACCAGTTTAGTTGCTTGTGGGGTAGTAGTGCTAGCAGAAGGCACTGCATAAAATGTGGTAGCTCTGCCTCTGGTGTCTCTTCCGATATCCCTCTTATCTTGAGATTTAGTATGTGTCTCTGGTCTTGAAGCACTGCAGCCGTTGCTCTGTTTTGGCTTGTTGTAGTTGCAGGTCCTGCATTCCCCGTTGCAGATGGGGTGCTTGCTGGGCATTTTAGTGGTTATCTCGCTCCAAAGCCCCCATGCGGCTTGTAAGGCCCTGCAGGTTTTTTCGGATGTGAGCCATGTCAGCCTGGATGGTGCGCTGGAGGTCTGTGAGCAGATCTTTCATGATCGCCGTCATCACCGGGGCCGAGTCTGAGTGAGAAGTGGTCAGCTTGAGAGCTCTCCACTCTGGTGTGTGTTCCTCTGCCGTTCCCAGAGAAAAGTCATCTGAGATCTCAGTACCGTCGTCTGAGATGTCTGCCATTTTAGGGTCCATAGCACTCTGGGTCTGTCGCTTTAAGTCGCCGATATTCATTCCTATTCTTGGCTTATCGGGTCTAGGTTTTTTGTTTTTCCGTCCTATATTGTGAGAGTCAACTTCAGGTTTGATTTGCAGGTTTCGGGAGAATGAAAAACTCTGCAGTACCGGGTTATAATTAGATTGTCAGCACAGAGCTCATGCAACATGCATTGATACATTTTAGGTACATTTTTTGTGCACTTTATAAATTAGTTGCTACTGCTCATTGTCACATTTATTATTATTGCAATGTTTTGCTGGTGTAATTTGCATTTGATAAACCACCTCAGCTTTACTATATTTTTTTAAACAACCAGTCATTGTATGAAAAGTCTGCTACTTGAGCTTTGTGTAGTTTTGTACATTTTGTTTATGTAGGGGAACCTTTATTCTTCTGGAATTTACATCATTGAATAAAACATTGAAAATCACCCATAACTCACATTAGCCTTTTTCACAAGATGCTCTGTTTTCTTTAAATTTTTATTCAAGATTTAGCAAATGACATAGAAAATTAGATCAGACCTGCACAACATACGGCACACAGGCTGCTTGTGGCCCACCAAAGGATTTCGGGCGGCCCGTGAGAAAAGGGCCAGAGAACCAAAAGGCGGCACAGGTGGCCTCCTTGGTGTACACCGACCCAGTGTGAGCAGGATCCATTTGATGTGCAGGAGGGGAGCGCACTGCACAGCGCTACCCTCCTGTTAGTCACAGCATGTAGCATAGCTAAGCTGCTGACCACAGTAGAGAAGCTTAAGAAAACATGAAAAATGTATTAAAACTTATCTTATAATTTTATAATATGGTATATTTGCAAAATAGTTTAATAATTAATTATACCTTTACTTGGAGTGACTAAGTGGCTATTAAAAAAGACTAAACAAACCCCACTTTCAATACCTTGGGTTGTCTACTTTTTCAAATGGTATGCCATTTTGGGGGTAATTCTCATTCCTGGGCTACCACACCTTCTCAAAGGTAACATTACTAATCTGGCAAATTTCAATTTGAAAATGGAACGTTCTATATTTGACCCTGTAACTTTCCAAAACACCATAAAACCTGTTAATGGGGGGTACTGTTGTACTCGTGAGACATCACTGATTACAAATATGTGCATTTTTTTGCAGTAAAACCTAACAGTATTATGACATTCAGGGTAATAACTGCTTGATCCAAGGATAAATCTGACTGCCATTCTGGGGTCAAGAAGGAATTTTTTTCCTAGCTTGTTGCAAAATTGGAAGTGCTTCAAGCTGGGTTTTTTGCCTTCTTTTGGATCAACAGCAAAAAACAAATGTGAGGAAGGCTGAACTTGATGGACGCAAGTCTCTTTTCAGCTATGTAACTATGTAACTCTCTGGGATGGGGAGAGGTATCATTCTCATCATGTAGAGCCACTTTGGTAATATGTATGTTTTTATAATGTTTACTCTTCCCCACCACAAGAATTCCAACGATTTCCACTCTTTCAGCAATTTATTTGTTTGCGAGATTAAGGAGAGGAAATTACATTCAATTATCTTAGTTGGATCGGAGCATGCCTCAATGCCCAAGTATTTAAATGACTGTTCTGCCCAAAGAAAATTTAATTTTTCTTTAATTTTATTTTTGACTTCATTAGAGATGTTACTAGGCAAAATTGTTGATTTGTCCATATTTAATTTATATCCCAATACTTTTGAGAATTCTTCTATTACTTTTATTAGATGTGGTACTGATTGAACCGGATCTTGAATTGTTAGGATTACATCATCGGCATACATATTTATCTTGATGTTACTTGAGTTGGGATTAAAATCTAAAATTCCGTCATTTTGTCTTATGGCTATGGCTAACGGTTCCAAAGACAAATTAGAAAATAAAAAGGGACAGGGGGCACCCCTGTCTAGTTCCATTAGTTAATGGAAACCAGGCAGGCACAAAACCCTGACTCATTACTCTAGTGGTCGGAAATGTATATAATGCATTAATATGTTCCAGGAACCTGCCCTCCATTCCATACGCCGACAATGAAGACCTCAGGAACTCCCAGCTGACCCTGTCAAATGCCTTCTCTGCATCTAACGGAATGGTTAGCAAGGGAGTCCCCGATATCTGTACGGCGCCTAGAATGTCTATGAGTCTTCTAATGTTATGAATTGCCAATCTGCCCAGAATAATTCCCACTTGATCTCGATTTATCAGACTTTCAATTACTGTTTTCATTCTCTCTGCCAACATAGAAGAATAGAGTTTAATATCTATGTTCAGCAAGGAGATGGGTCGATAATTTTTAACAAATTCTGGGTCTTTATCTTGTTTCGGTATCGAGACAATATTAGCCTGCATTAATTATTTTGCATTAAATGTTTCCAACAGATCTGTTTTTATGATATTTTTCATTAACGTATAAAAAAGATTATTAAATCCATCCGGTCCAGGTGTTTTTTTTGTTTTTAATTTATCGATACACGTTATCAGTTCTATTTCTGGTGGTTTATTTAAGTGAAATAATTGATTTTGTGTTAGTTTCGGCAGAGAGATATTGTTAAAAAAGTTACTTACATCTATTTTTGAAGGTCTATTTGTTTTTTTGTTTTTTTTAAACATTCTTTATTTGTTGTTTTCCGGTGTGGAAAAAGGAAACATTAGGGTACAGAAATGAAGGAGGGAGGGGGTGATACAGCCACAATGGTACAGGTGCACATTAATTTCACACATGTGTCTTTGCGCCTCAGGGTGTTATGAACAAGTAACTGTGTCTTGGTGCGGTCTGTTGGTTAGGCGTTTAACGTGCAGCAATGTGGGGTTCAGGGAACTCTGTCTTGGTCTTATTCCCTTTGCCCGGTTCGTTAGGACAAACCTGTATTGGTGGCCGTATGAGGTTTGCGATTTGTCTCGTTGACAGTTTTGTGGTGGGGTGGGATGCCCTCCTTTTGACTGTTTTTATTGTCCTCGCTGCGTACTGATGGGCGCCCATGTGTCTGGGTGGTCGGTTGGGGGGGGGGTTGATAACCTATGTAGAAGATCTATTTGTTAAATTATACAATTTTCTGATAGCATGTACTAAAGGCTGTGCCTATGTTCTCTGGTCTCAATAAAGTTTCACCATTCTCAATTATCTTATTAATGATTCTCTTTGCTCTTTCTTTTTTTAAACGATTGGACATACTTTGTCAGCTTATTAGTCCAATCGTTAATAGTACCATTTTAGGTTTCATGACTCTGTGACTTCTTTCAATGTAATTGGTTTCTTTGTTTGGACCTAAACCCCCAAATTTTAAAAAGTCTTCACAGCAATCTTCTAACTTATATGCCAAGATATTTTCAGGAATGCCTCTCATACTGAGGTTGTTTCTTCGTGACCTATCCTCAAGGTCTCCAATTTTGTTTAGTAGACTTTCGTTTTTTTTCTTCTAGTTTTTTCAACCTTTCAGTGTTGGTCTGTGTTTGAAGGGAGAGGTTATCCGCCTTCTCTTCCATTTTTATTAATCTTTCTCCGATCTTGACTAGGTCAATTTTAATGTCAGTAGAGGAGGTAAAGATTTCTGTTTTGATTTTAACCAGTTGTGCTTCAAAGCATTTAGCTAAGTGCTCTGCAGTGATGATAGTCGGTTCTGAACCCTGGTTTTCTGGTGACCCACTATCTATTTCAAGCTCTTTAGTTTCAAACAACCGGCTTGTTATCCCGGATTCTGAGCTGGGTACCTTTAGCTGACTGAGGCAGAAAAAAATTGGACACTCTTTTTTCTTGTGATACTAAATGTTTTTTAGTTTTTTTTTTGTAAATCAATAGTGTGTGTGGCCTCCACGTGCCTGTATGACCTCCCTCCAATGCCTGTGCATGCTCCTGATGAGGTGGCGGATGGTCTCCTGAGTGATCTCCTCCCAGACCTGTACTAAAGCATATACCAACTCCTGGACAGTCTGTGGTGGAATGTGACGTTGGTGGATGGAGCAAGACATGATGTCCCAGATGTGCTCAATTGGATTCAGGTCTGGGGAACGGGCGGGCCAGTCCATAGCATCAATGCCTTCGTCTTGCAGGAACTGCTGACACACTCCAGCCACATGAGGTCTAGCATTGTCTTGCATTAGGAGAAACCCAGGGCTAACCGCACCAGCATATGGTCTCACAAGGGGTCTGAGGATCTCATCTCGGTACCTAATAGCAGTCAGGCTACCTCTGACGAGCACATGGAGTGTGAACCTGCTTTCATCTGTGAAGAGCACAGGGCGCCAGTGGCGAATTTGCCAATCTTGGTGTTCTCTGGCAAATGCCAAACATCCTACACGGTGTTGGGCTGTAAGCACAACCCCCACCTTTGGATGTCGGGTCCTTATACCACCCTCATGGAGTCTGTTTCTGACCATTTGAGCAGACACGTGAACATTTGTGGCCTGCTAGAGGTAATTTTGCAGGGCTCTGGCAGTGCTCCTTCTGTTCCTCCTTGCACAAAGGCGGAGGTAGCGGTCCTGCTGCTGGGTTGTTGCCCTCCTACGGCCTCTTCCACGTCTCCTGATGTATTGGCCTGTCTCCTGATAGCGCCTCCATGCTCTGGACACTACGCTGACAGACACAGCAAACCTTCTTGCCACAGCTCGCATTGATGTGCCATCCTGGATGAGCTGCACTATTTGAACCACTTGTGTGGGTTATAGACTCCGTCTCATGCTACCACTAGAGTGAAAGCACCGCCAGCATTCAAAAGTGACCAAAACATCAGCCAGAAAGCATAGGAACTGAGAAGTGGTCTGTGGTCACCACCTGTAGAACCACTCCTTTATTGGGGGTGTCTTGCTAATTGCCTATAATTTCCACCCTTTTGTCTATCCCATTTGCACAACAGCATGTGAAATTGATTGTCACTCAGTGTTGCTTCCTAAGTGGACAGTTTGATTTCACATAAGTGTGATTGACTTGGAGTTACATTGTGTTGTTTAAGGGTTCCCTTTATTTTTTTGAGCAGTGTATTTATTTACTACAAATAGGGGATAAGTAAAGACAATGACATGAAAGAAGCATACAATTAAAGGAATACTATAGGCATCAAAACAACTTTAGCCTAATTAAGTGGTTATGGTATATATAACAAACCCCTGAAGTCTCCCTGCTCAAATTAATGACAGAGTATGCAGGGGTTTGGCAACAAAGTACCTGTCCGTACTAGTAACCCATTTATGCTTGGGGCTGTTGAAATGGTTTAGTAAGACGGATCTGTGCTGTTGTAATAAAGTCCCAGGAGCAAGGGTAAAGCGTGTCAGTATACTATGTCATTGGTTAGTCACCAGGCTATGGACACACTCACTCGATAGGGGAAATCCTTGGAGAAACAGAGTGCTACCCAAACCATTAAGAACGGTACAGAGGCGGCGATTGGCGGCACTAATTTGGAACCAAATGCAGGCAATACAGTTGCCGTCTTGCATGGCTCCTGCATATTCCATAGTAAGTGAACAGTGGCACTGTGTGTGACATATATTTTGAGCTCATTAATGTGTTTAAAACCTTAACAGGGTCCTACAAAATCTAGTGTAAGCCGTTTTATACTTTGTGTTGTATTTTATCTGTAGTAAAGGTTATTATACTATGTTATTTATTTCCTTTTTTTGTACTAAGCTGCAAGGAACAACCCACTTAGAAGAGTGTTTAGTGTGTATGCACTTAAAGGGACACTACAGTCACCAAAACAACTACAGCTTATTGTAGTTGTTCTAATGAGTATAGTCAATCCCTGCAGGCATTTTGCTCCAAACAATGTATTTTCAAATAAATTGCAGTGTTTAGATTGGTCTCCCGGGACACCTCCAGTGGCAGTCACTCAGACAGCCACTAGAGGTGCTTCCTGGGTCAGTTCAGCGTTTTGACACCCTGCATGGAGACGCTGAAATTTTCCCATGGAGAAGCATTGATTCAATGCATCTCTTTGAGGAGATGATGATTGGCCAGCACATTGTTTGGCTCCACCCCTGTCCTCCCTCCTTGGCAGAGAACACCAGAATTGACAATCTCAGTTTTGGTGTGATATTTTGTCTGGAGATGAACTAGAAATCATTCCTTTGTAAGTACACACTAATGCCAAAATGGAAATTATTTACTATGGGAAAGCTGACCATAGAGATATACAATAATTCTGACGTCTTCCGTAAATATAGACACCGTGGTAGGATGCATTTCCTCCACTTGTTAATATTGAAGCCCTGCTAACCTTGTGAATATGTGTGTAAACCCACCATTCATGATGGAAGAGCAGTGAACACTTGCTTCACATTGTTCCCTGCACCCCTGGAATGTACTGCTTGTTGATAGATTTGTAGCCCTGAATAGAAAGGAGTAAATTTTTGCCAATCCTCCTTCCTTTCTCAACTTGTCACAACTTTACATATCCTTAATTCTCTATTTTCACAAATCTATTGCTTTCTTAAACTGTTGCTACACTCCAAGCACTAGTCATGGAGGCAGGGAGCTTCGTCCAAAGGACCCCAGTTAAGAAATCAAACTGTTCAAAAACGGTTTGACTCCATACAGTGGGAGGTGTGAGGTGTTGCATCAGGGCACAAGAACTACTACAGCGAGCTTTAACTTTTTAAATGTTTTCTTTTATTTCTCTATACAAACCAATGAAACTTTAATGAAAAGAATGTTTAAAATCTTTCGACTAGGCCACTGCTGTTCCAAAATGACCCTCCGCTATTTCCAGCTGTTGTTACATTTTGTTTTTTTGCTATTATTCTGAGACATTCATGTATGATTGACATAACACAGTTTGCTGGGTTGATTGCAAGTCCTAGTCCGTAATTATACTCGTACATGTGCCCTAATAACACCCGATTATACTTTCTGCTCTTTACTACTGGTATGATCATTGATTGTAAACATTCTGAAAAAGACATGGTCACAATGAGAAAGGAAGGATCTTCCTTTAGTGTAAAAACCCTGACTCTGCCTTCCCAGCCGAGGAATGTAAAACAGGCTCAGCAATCAAAACTGCCAACAGCTGCCACAACTCATTACATCAGTTATATGTTTTGAGGGCTCCATCTGTTATTTTATTAACAGTGGTAATGTATAAGGTTTGTATGTGTCTTTTAGGCAAGAACACAACTATAGTGTTTTGGGATTAAATGTAAAGTGGCATAACTTCTTAAATGAAAATAAATGTAAGGGCAAATAAGCATTCATCAGATATTAGATGACACTGTAGACAATATGCCAGACAATGGAAAATTAGGGATATACTCACTAAAGGCAGACACAAGGTTTACTGTACTGAAGGATTAAAGAATGATTTAAGAGCAATATCAACAAAAGAGAATTTTTTTTATTTATTTTTAAATGGCAGTTATTTATCAAAGTGTTTTGGTCTAAAGTACTAAAACTGGGGCAATCATCATAGACACCAGGCAGACCAGTAAGCATATTCCATTGGTGACTCCTCCCTTTAACATTTATGCACCACTTTTTAGAACAGAGCAATTTGATATGTATCCCTTAAAGGAACACTATAGTCACCTAAATTACTTTAGCTAAATAAAGCAGTTTTAGTGTATAGATCATTCCCCTGCAATTTTACTGCTCAATTCACTGTCATTTAGGGGTTAAATCACTTTGTTTCTGTTTATGCAGCCCTAGCCACACCTCCCCTGGCTATGATTGACAGAGCCTGCATGAAAAAAAAACTGGTTTCATTTTCAAACAGATGTAATTTACCTTAAATAATTGTATCTCAATCTCTAAATTGAACTTTAGAGCTTGAACTAATTGAACTAATCCCATACAGGAGTCTCTTGCAGGATCTAGCAAGCAACAAAGAAAGCCTAAATAGGGCTTTCTTTACAGGAAGTGTTTATGGAAGCCTTGTGCAAGTCACATGCAGGGAGGTGTGACTAGGGTTCATAAACAAAGGGATTTAACTCCTAAATGGCAGAGGATTGAGCAGTGAGGCTGCAGGGGCATGTTCTATACACCAAAACTGCTTCATTAACCCCTTAAGGACCGAGGACGGTTCTGGACCGTCATCAGCATTTTCCCATTGCCGACCGCTGACGGTCCTGAACCGTCCTAACGGTCCTAGTTACTTACCTGATCGCCGTCGTTACCCCGGCGGCGATCAGCGTTGCTCCCGGTGTGGGGAGACTGCCTGCAGCCCAGACAGTCTCCCCATGGCGGATTAGAACCCCTGTGGCCATGTGATCGCTCAACACAGCGATCACATGGTCACAATAGGTGTCCATGTGTCTGCCTGCAGGGGGACTGTCTGTGCTGACAGACAGTCTCCCTGCGAGTGTAAAATAAAATAAAAAAAATAAGGTTAGTATTAATAAAAAAAATTATATATGTGTATATATATATATATATGATATATAGACATTTATTATATCTATATAATATATGTCTATATATCATATATATGTCATACTAAGTGTATTTTTATATTAATATGTACTTATATTAATATAAAAATACACTTATAATTAAATTACACACGTATATATCTATATATATTGTGTATATATATATATTATAAAATATAAATACATTTTTTTAAATAATAATAAAAATTGAAAAAAATTATATATCTATATGAAATTTTATTCTAACTGTATTTTAAAATTAATATATATATATATATATATTTATATCAAAATACACTTAGAATGAATTTGTATATATATCTATGTATATATAAATACAAATAATACAAAATATACATATGTCCATATACAAAATTACATAAATAATTATATAAATATACACGTAGACTTCAAATATATAAATATGCATATATATTTAAATTCTACGTGCGTATTTATGTAATATTTTTACATAATTAAGTAATTTTATTGACTGCAATTTGAGGGACCTGCCTGCCAACCCAGGCCGAAAGTCCAGAGAATTTAATTTGCTAGCACTGTATTTTACCCTGTAATGTTCTACGACACCCTAAAACCTGTACATGGGGGGTACTGTTTTACTCGGGAGACTTCGCTGAACACAAATTAGTGATTCAAAACAGTAAAACATATCACAGCGATGATATTGTCAGTGAAAGTATGATGGCATACCATTTGCAAAAGAAGACAACCCAAGGTATTGCAAATGGGGTATGTCCAGTCTTTTTTAGTAACCACTTAGTCACAAACTCTGGCCAAAATTAGCGTTCAATTTAGTTTTTTTACTTTTTTCACACACAAACAAATAATGCTTACTTTGGCCAGTGTTTTCGACTAAGTGGCTACTAAAAAAGACTGGACATACCCCATATTGAATACCCTGGGTTGTCTACTTTAAAAAAAATATGTACATTTGGGGTGTTATTGAGAGATTTATGACAGATAATAGTGTTACAATGTCACTATTGATAAATTTTAAAAATGTATGTTTTGAAACCGCAATATCCTACTTGTACCTATAGCCCTATAACATGCAAAAAAAAGCAAAAAAGCACATAAACACTGGGTATTTTTAAACTCAGGACAAAATTTTGAATCTATTTAGCAGTTTTTTTAATTCACTTTTGTAGATGAGTAAAAGATTTTTCAAGTAAAAGTAAAAAAACATGTATTTTTTTCAATTTTATCATATTTTATTTTTTTTAAATTAAAATAGAAGCGATTATGTAAATAATGGTATGTAAAGAAAGCCCCTTTTGTCCTGAAAAAAACAATATATAATTTGTATGGGAACAGTAAATGAGAGCGCGGAAAATTACAGCCAAACACAAACATCACATAAGTGTAAAAATATGCCTGGTCGCAAATGTACAACATCGCAAAAACAGTCCAGTCCTTAAGGGGTTAAGCTAAAGTTGTTCAGGTGACTATAGTGTCCCTTCAATATTTCACCTTTTAAAAGTACAAAGCAAGATGGACCAAAAAGGTAGAGGAAAGGTAGTATTTTCCAATAACTTAGATGAGTCAGGGTATGAAACCACCAGAGAAAATCAATTTAACAAGCCAGAATAAGTAAAAAGAAATACAAAGTGGACCCCACATAGAAAATACATTTGAGGTCAGAATTTGAAAGTCAGTAAGCAAAGGGGCATACTGACATAACAGAGAAGCCAACTTCATTATCTAAACAATTGGTAAAGCAGTTCACGTTTTAAGGCAGTGCCTTAAAGGCAGTGCCGCAGATGGCATAATGGGCGAGTGAGGGGGTGGGGGCACATGAAAGCAAATCACACATAGTAGTTCAACAAGCAGTAGAGGATTCATGCCACACAGTTGGTGGAGGATGAGTTAGTAACATACATGACAGAAGGCTCAAGTATTTCTTATAGGAACATTCCAACATCAAAATGGTAGCAAGCAGACAAATAAAGTGATAAATAAAGTGGTAAAGTGATAACTGCAGCGCTATGGCATTTCCCCAAAGTGGCCATCTTAGATGACTTTAGAAGTTCACACTGTTTACAATGTACATGTGACAAAAAGTCCTCTCCACTACCATTTGATAAAACACAATGTATGCATTTATGACTTGAACTGTTTGAACATAGACACCAGTGTATACAAAGTGGAATTCCACATTGTGGAGTTTCAATATGAAGATGGTAATGGGGTAGATGTTAGAATCTCATGAGCCAGGCAAGGTAGATACATAAAGGTCTTGAGAACATTACTCTGTATGTACTAATCCTACTAAGAAATATATATGAAAACAAAACAAAAGCACATGGGAAAAAGAAAGAACCTTTACTATATAATCTTTTTTAAGGATGTCTCAGTGTTTGAGCATTGCTAAGAGAAACAATAATGATTCAACCCTTATAAAGTAACACGTACTGCAGTTCGTCACAGAGACGGTAACATGCAAAGCGATGTCGAGACTGAATCTTCTCCATCAGTAATATAGTATCTCTTGAACAGTGGGATGAAGTATTTTAATAATGATAATAAAAGACACCTATATCTGTTTCCCCCTTGTTCCTCCACCACTGTCCAGCAGTTAAGAATTAAAATACATAGCAACTGGCCAGCTGTGACTGCACATTTGATAAAAGAACCCATGCAATTAGCAATGAGGTATGGCGCATAAAAGAATTTTGGGGGCATTCTAGTTTTACCCCTACTGCTCCCACCCATGGGCAGTAGGTGGGTCCCATTAAATGGTCTGTGATTTCCTGCCTCTGAAGCCTCTTGCTCTTACCAATGGACACAAAGTGGAGGCATATTAAGTAGTCCAAGGTGAACTTTCTGTCACAACTACTGTATGACCCAACACGCAAAACTATGATAACACAAAATACAATGTATATCGGGCCTTAGAATGGCCGGACTTAACGTTAAAGAGAAAGGTCAATAGACAAGTCGAGGTCAAGGATACAGAATGAGACGATACGAAAATACTAGCCAAAGGTCAGGAACCAGAAGTAGGGAAAGTAAAAAATGCAAGCCAATGTCAAAAAACAGAAAATTTGAACAAGAACGCGCTCTCTGACAACCAACAAGTGGAAACCATGACAGGGCACTGAGAAAAGGCATTACAGGGCTTAAATATGCCTCTCAGTACTGTGATTGGTCAGTATGTGGCATTTGACCCCAAAACGAGCGTTTAAAGGGTGACCTCACATGCACGCTGGCTCCATCTTTAATGTTGTGGGCCCTGTGTATATTATTATTAAGAACAGGACCGCAGCGGCCGGCGTCCCTTAGAACTCCTCTCCAGCTGGACCGGTTTCACTGGAGGATCGGGCGTCAATGCGCCACGATCCAGGTGAGTATTAATTTCCCTTCTCGGTGTGACCGCCTTGTTTATGTGTAGCCGCGCTGCCCGGGGACTTATGTGTGGCTAGAGTATCGGGGTAACCCCATTGATAAGGTTTGATCACGCCGATATGATTCCCCAGCGCCGTGACACTTTCCACTGATCACCCTAACCCATTGGCAGCATCTGGATCTCCATATGGTTATCCTTCATGGCTAAAGAAGAGACTCCCCCCATGGATATATGGGCATAAGAGGGAGGCAGGTACTTTTTGTCCAGTAGTGCCAGGTGGATTTGGCACCACTATATATTAATGAACACCTTGTACTGTATTTAAATGGTGTTGGGGAGATGGTCTCCTCATATTGTATGTAAATGAGCTTTGGGGAGATGAATAGTCACATTTTAATGTATGCAAATAGGAAAAAGGGGGGACCTGAATAGCTCCAAAACCAGCCAAACAGTCCGCACTCACAATTTTGGTGATTTCTATATTTGGGATTAATCCAGCACCAATATTAGAATCTGGGATATATTTAAACATATAAGTGGCCATTGTCTTACATATTTTACTCTCCTTTGGAACTGGAGTTGCGGCAACAAGACCACATGAGCCTCCATAGATCGATGCCTGAATCACTGGGATTGGACAAAAGTTGATGGTGGAGCTTTCAGCTTTTATCAATATTTGTCAACCGCAGGATTGCCCATAAGTCAAAGTAGAACCTTCTTATGGTATATCTGATTGTGTTGGAATTTCACTGAAATTCCAATTCAGTCTTGATCAGTATTTAATAAAGAATATATCTTTAGAAAATACTGGAAAGTGACAGACTTACTTTCACTGACACACTACATATATGTATCAACAAATATTTACACACTGGCAATATATTTTTTACCACATCTGAAAACTCTCCTCTAACAAAAACTGAGGACTAAGTGTGCTGCCCCAATCCCCTGACAAAGAGCAATTTCAACTGCATCTAAAGGCTACCCAACAAAAACAACTGACTTCCAAATCTATTGACCATCTACAACTCTACCAATATGGTTTCATTTATCAATGTCTTAAAATCTAGCTCAAATGTATCATTCCGCACCATTCTGTTGTGTGTGCCCCCTCCCACATCATAGATTAATTTTCAGTACAAGCAGTAGATTTGTTTCAATAGACATAATTTCTGTCACTATCAAGTGCCCCCTAGACTACTACTTCTGCAGAAAAAGCTATTTTTAATCCATATAATTTAGAGAAGTGTTTGAAAATAATTTTGTTTGGTTACTGTTTGGACGATAATTTGCAATTTTTAGTTCGGTTGAAATTAATATATAAAATTTCTCGTTAATGTAATGAATTTCAGGTCGAACTGTTAATCCCAATGGGGAAAAGGTGAATCCAAAAGGTGGCAGTCTCAACAACCCCTTTAAGTGGGATATTGAAGTTGGAAAGTTAAATGACCACTATAGTCAGACCACTTCATCGCAATAAGGTGGCCCTGTTGCTTTTTTATTGAGGTATCAATGAGTCATACATTACAAGCAGTAATGAGGCAGAATACAATTATGTACCATAACATTTCACAGAGTAGGAATTCTGAGTTTTTTGTATTAATAAAAGATTAAAACATCACTGGACCATCTCTCAGAGGTCAACTCACCAGTTGGGACTGGGATATCCACCACTGGTCCAAAAGTTGGGGGTGGAGGACAGGGCCCAACGATAGGCTGGAACAGGTTTAGGGCAGGGAAGTGTCCGCAGGCTGCTGAGAAGCCCAATGCTGAGAAGGCCAAAGCTTCCACCGGGAGTTCGTGGCACACATCCATGGAATGGTTTGTCACAATTAGATATATGTGAAATGATAATTCTGTATGTATATAACTAATGCAGTCTTGGTAACAAGCTAATAATATCTGGCTATTAATAAATGCGCCTGTATAGAAAAAGGAGGGAACAGCATATTTGTCTTCCCAGGGTCCAGCACATGGGAAAGGTTCTCCCATCATACACCATTTACAAAAATACACACACGTGTTCCCACAGTACACCCAACACACTACATATATTCACACAAATCACAGACTGAATTTCATGGTTTCACAAAGAGACCCAAATATATATGCAAGAAGTTGGTTTTTTTTGGCGGTAATTGTGGGGGGGAGGAGTGGGGGTTGAGATGGTCCTGAGAATTCTATGAATACAGGTACTTCAGCTGTAAATCTAGACATAGAAGCAAGATAATGAGAAAGGTTACAAGTCACAATACTAAAGAGAGTATGGAGAATGTTTAACTGAGGACACCTTAGTGACCAACTCACTATTACCGTGTCTGTCACTCAGTTATTTTACTTGCTTTATCCACTTTCGATTTCCGGTTTACATTCTAATGTAACACAGCCAATAATAGTTTAATGTGCAACTGCCACTGTACCCCTGGCAGCAGATTGGTAGGTGGTGGTAAAGGGGATGAGGAAATACACTCAAGAGGATAAGATGACAGACACAAAACATGGTAGGGAGTGAAGAGAGACACACAGGGGTAGGTGAGTGTTAGGAGAGAAAATAAGGAACTGAGGTGGATCACGAGAGACACAAAGCGTTGCGAGAGGTCAGGAGATACACAAATAAAGTGATGCAATGCAGAGAGGCAACACTTTTTACAATTATGGGGGAGGGACTTGGTGCCCACACACTAAACTGTCCAGGATGTCATATAATCAAGGTACTTCTTCCAACCTGGAAAAGTGGAGTTTACTGCTTAGGTTGTGCTATCAATATAGCAAATACATTTTATGGAGTTCAGTCACTTTTGAATGGTGCATTTACTACCCTGTTTAATTCCAATCATGATACGGTTATGATGTACCAGATGTGTACATTATTTTGTATACTAAACTTGGCAAATTAATCTTACAGCTTAAAAGGGTTACTCCAACCAGAAAAAAATGTTTTAAATGTAAATAAACAAAGCATAAACTTAGCTCTGCTCCAGCTTGGAGGCCAATTTCGCCAGGTGACTTAGTGCAACTCCACTGACGTCACTCCAATTTGCTGCTGGAGGAAGGATCTAGGGGGAAAGACATGGGCAATCTAGAGGAGGGAGCATGCTGCCATTAGATGCCTGTCGACAGCAGGCTGTGTGTGATGACATCAGATGTCCCGTATGCACGGAATTCACATTAGCCAGCCTAGAAGAATTCCAAGCTAGAAATGATGCCGCGGGAGGTGGAGTTACACCTCCTGCAACAGAGAAGTTAAACTCTGTATGTACAGCATTTCATAGCGGAATGCACATACAGACTCGATTTGAAATTTACTTTGCATTTTGACAACTTACGTTTTAGTGACTAACCATGTAAATCATTAATGTTGGTGAGTTGACCCTTGAACTACCGAAATGTATACAAACAGTAATAGTCTTGGAAAAAAATTTTTTTTTGCATCCAAACTAGTTTGGAATAAATTCTGCAAATTACCCTTTCTAGAAGCTATGTAAATAATCTGCAGTGCCATGTAGTGCCAAATATGAATACATTATAAAACGAATCAAAGTGATGACATGTTTAACTACCTTTGAACCATATTCCATTGCGATCATAAAATGAAGAAGAACAATAAAAATATTAAACACACTTCTATCAAAATCCAAACCATGCATTATCTAGCGTGTGTTAAGGGTTTGCAATATGCAAACGCTAAAGAGAAAGTTTCGAAAAATCTATCGAAAATGAGGTGAAACTGAAAGCAGACACAAACAAATAGCAGGGAGGAAGCGAGGTGGAGGCAGAGATAGAGGGAGGGGCAATATTTAACCCCAATGTGATCTCTTCTCGTTCAGAAAGCCGGTTAGCAGCCAGTGAGAGCGATCGAGCTCTAATTCGGAGCTGTGCCATCTACAGTATTTCTGAGAATTCTCTCCGTTCAATTCATATAATCCACCATCACGACAACAACAGGAAGAGGACAGGGGACAAGTCACAGGACAACTTATAGCCTTGTACAGGAGTATCGGGCTTGATTTATTCTCCCTGCCATCATGGATGGTGATTTTCCTGTTTGGCCATCAGATCCCCTCCCTGCCATGTGCTAGGGTGGGAGGTGTGTACAGAGGGGTGATGATTTGGAGACTGGAGACCATGGAGCCGGTAGCACTTCCTTGTTGCAGGCCTGCGTGACAGACCCACAGCTGGGTGACACCTACAATAACTACTGCACTTCTCTGGGACAAACAGGGCACTAGCTTAGTACCATGAAGAGACATTTCCCACTTCTTCAAATCACATAGGAACTTGGGGAAACTACTGCCATTATTCTTGTAGTTGTTTTTTTTTTTTTTTTAGGATTATATATATATATATTTTTGTTATTTCATCTCATTTCACTTCCTTGTGTGTGTGTTTTTTTGTTTTTTTTTATGTTTGCCATGGGCTGACTTTTGGATATATAGGGACTACGACTTAAAACTCTTTAAAAAGTAATTAATATATATGTACGTAATTTTAAATTCAGATTTCTGAAGGGAAAAAAAAGTGGATTACATGACATCCTGATTCTAAACTAAAATGTGTAGCCGTAGTCATGATAGTGTGTGTTTATTGATGTTTTGACAGATTTGGCAGGTAGGGTTTCTTTTTGTTGTTGTTTTTTTTAATCGCTGTGTTTATTTCCTTTCTAATACAAATCTGTTTATGTCTAGTGTTGTTTGCTTTTTTTTTTTCTTCTTTCTTCGAGAAGTTTACTTTTTAAGAGACGAGAGTAGTGGAGAGACAGAAGTAACTAGTAAAGGATACATATTTTTCAATATATTCATCGTAGAATCTTGGTAACATTTTTTCCTTTTTCTTTATTGCACAGCAAGAGTTTTAGGCTATCCAGGTGTACGTTTATATCAGAATATATCGAAGTAAAATCACATATATATTTTTTTTCTTTTAAATTTTGAAATGAACAAGCCCTATATTGGCCAAGGAAGGAAGTGACTGAAAATAGATTTAAACTGTAATATATAAGCAGAAGGAGGACAAGGCAGTAGGAGAGAGTGGGATTTAAGAGAGGACTACAGGGGGTAGCCCAGGGACAGAGAATCCCTTTAAATAAAGGGTTCAGATTGTGGGCTGTAAGGAGGCTGGGGAGGGGGAGATCTTTCAGTGCTCCAGCAGACTTGCCCCTGATGCCAGGCAGCTCAGATCTTGCCCCTGCCCTGTCCAGCTGTTCCTCCGGGGCCTCCTCGGTGTCAGTGCAGCGGAGGCCTCCGGGCTCAGCGAGGAGAAAGCGAGACCGCCGGCAGAGGAGGAAGCGGAGGGTGCGGGAGCAGGGCCCCTATGTGTCCGCCCCAGGAGTGCTAGGCCTCGGTGCAGCGGCCGTGGAGGGAGCGCAGAGTGCAGCCCGGGGTATGAAGCGATACCGGGAGCGGCGCGACAGGAAAAAGCGGCGCAGGGACCGGGGCAAGAGGCACCTGCTGAACCAAGATGGGGCCCTGGCCGCCGCCGCCGCCTCGGTGGAGTATGACGACGTTAGCTCCCTGTCCGAAGGGGCTCTCTCCGCCAGCGAGCCAGGCCGCGCCGCCATCCCGCCCGCTCTGGGACTAGGCCTCGGAGCATCCCCGGCCTCTGATCGGTGCCCCTCCCCGGCCATGTTCCCTCCTCAGCCGCTGGCCCTGCTACGCCAGCCCGGGGATCCCGAGCGCAGCGCCAGGAGGAAGCGCGGCTCCCGCAGGCCGGAGTCCGGGCACCGCAGGAGGGAGGAAGGCCGAGGCGGAAACAGCCGGGCGGAGGAGCGGCGCAGGCCCCTGCCTATAAATGAACTGGTTATTCCCACACCGCTCCTGCTGGCGACGCCCTGGAGGCCCCCGGCAGACGTGGGGAAGAGAGCAGAACTCCGGCCCGCGGCCTCCTACAGGCCCAAGCGGGAGGAGGCCGCGGCCTACAGCAAACAGGCGCCCAAAGCCTACCGAGAGGACAAGGCCTACCGGGCCTCCATCCAGGGCAACCACCGCAAGACATCCGCCAGCCCGGCCCGCTCCCCCAGCCCCGGGTACAGCGGACACCGCCAGGCACGCCGCTCCCCCAGCTTCGGCTCCTACGAGAGGACGGAGACCGCCTCCCCCCCGAGCCGCCGGAGATCCCGGAGCCCATACAGTCCTGCTGGCAGGTGAGACCCAACATGGCTGCTGTCATTCTCTGTATTAATGTCAATTAATGTCATTTTACTCCACAGAGCACGTCCTGTGACCGTGTGTAATAACATTACTGTAATAATCACAATAACACTAATAATAATAATAATGGCTCTTCACCCCGGGGTCATTGGGGTCTCATGTCATGTCTTCAGCTCTCTATTAGTAGGAACATTTTTTTAAAATTATTATTATTACCATTTATATAGCGCCAACAGATTCTGTAGCGCTTTACAATATTATTAGAGGGGGGATTTAACTATAACTTGGACAATTACAAGAAAACTTACAGGAATGATAGGTTGGAGAGGACCCTGCTCAAACAAGCTTACAGTTTATAGGATGTCTTATTGTTATTGGTATTTATATAGCGGCGGCCTATTTTACAGCGCTTTACAATATTTTGAATTTAACAATAAATGAGACCATTACAAATTGTTACAGGAACAATACGTTATTCAGGACCCTGCTTGAAAGAGCTTCTGATCTAAAGGCAGTGGGGGTATTAAAACAATAATATTCACCTGGCCCCTGTCAACTGCTCTTAACAAGTGATTTACTGTAGGACCACTGCTTTCCTCAGTACATTGGAAACCCCCTTAAGGAACAAGTCTTCTTCTATGAGATGCGACACAATTCACTTTTGCCGTGCATTTGTTTTGCCACAATTTCCCCATTTCATGCATTTGATTTTATATACCACTTTTTTTTTATTTTTTTTTCATTTTTTATTATTCTTTATTTTTGATGTGCAGTTTCACAAGTATAAATTGCAGTACACATGAAGAAATATCAGAGATGCGTAAACAACAACACTGTTCGCCTGATATTGTAAATGAAATAAGAAAATGGTGCGTTCCCACATTAGTAAGAGATACAGCAGGAGAAGTAGGTTCAGGCACACTGCACATTGTTAGTAAGTAGTTTTATGAGCAGAAAAACTGCAATTTTTGTTTTTACCACTTGCTTTTAAAGGAGAAATAGGGCTTTCTTTAGATAACCTACATGTATATGTAACACAATACTAAATAGAATAAAATATAAAAAAATGGGGACGCAGAAAACAAATTTCTTTCAGTTTTACTTTTTTAATAGTTTTTACACACTAAGCGCAACTAAAAAAAGCTAACTTTTAATTAGTCTTGATTGTTAAAATGCGAAAATATGACTAGAATTAAAAGAATTACCACAAGGAGTGAATTACAGTTGAATTACAGTTCTAAAGCTAAAACTGTTGAGATTACAACTTTTATAGCAGTCACAGAATCCACAACCATTACACAAAAGTGTGTGTATATAATATTTTTTATATATATATATATATATATATATATATATATATATATATATATATTTATATATATATATATATATATTATATACACATTATATACACACACTTGTTACACACACGTTTTATTTTGTGGAAATTCATGAAATACACATGTTCTACTACTGCAAACACTCCATATTTGTATTCTGCTACTTAGCTTAAAGGACCACTATAGTGCCCTGAGGATGCCCCCACCCTCAGGGACCCCCTCCCGCCCGGCTCTGGGGAGAGGAAAGGGGTTAAAACTTACCTTTCTCCAGCGCTGGGCAGGGAGCTCTCCGCCTCCTATCCTCCTCCGTTCCTCCCATTCGGCTGAATGCGCTCGCGCGGCAAGAGCTGTGCGCGCATTCAGCCGGTATCATAGGAAAGCATTCTCAATGCTTTCCTATAGACGCTTGCGTGTTCTCACTGATTTTCACAGTGAGAATCACGCAAACGCCTCTAGCGGCTGTCAATGAGACAGCCACTAGAGGAATTGGAGGAAGGATTAACCCATTGATAAACATAGCAGTTTCTCTGAAACTGCTATGTTTATAAAAAAAAAAATGGGTTAACCCTAGCTGGACCTGGCACCCAGACCACTTCATTAAGCTGAAGTGGTCTGGGTGCCTAGAGTGGTCCTTTAAGTGCATTAATACCCATATATATCTTCCCCTAATCTCATACTCTATTCCCACCTCTGAGTGATTCCATATGCTGATGTCCATACTGACAGCAGAGGGATTTTCTAGTCCAAACAGTACAGAGGGCTCTATGAGATTGCAGCATGAGAGGAAGATCTCCATATTATGCTGTTCCAGCCACTGAGAATGGTGCTGGGCAGCTGGCAAAGGCTGCGCCAAGCTGGGGGGACCCTAAATGTATTTGGCCACATTTTAAATTACTGCAACTGAGTGCAATCGTACTCTGTCATGGTATTTAAATCCATTCAGCGAGATATGTGCCACTCTCACTTTGAGCTGCACATTGCTCTTTTGTCAGTCTGGCGCCAATAATTGTGTCCTCGAGTGACTGTGTGCAGTACTCGCTGTGAGTGCTGCACACCATTAATCTGTCAGTCTGGTGATTTAAACCCTGCTGGTACCTTTAAAGCATTGACCATCTGTGGCGTCACTAGTCGTTTAGGCCATCGTGCAGTGCAGGGCTTCCACAGTTAAATGGTTAATGTCATTCTATTCCAATGTTGAAACTCTGATGTTTCACTGCTCAATTCACTGCCATTAAAGGACCACTATCGGCACCCAGACCACTTTAACTCAATGAAGTGGTCTGGGTGTCAGGTCCATCTTTCGGAGAAACTCATTGACACACTCAGTCTCATTGACAGCCGCTAGAGGTGCTTCCGCGCTTCTCACTGTGGTTTTCACAGTGAGAAGATGCCAGCCAGCGTCCATAGGAAAGCATTGAGAATGCTTTCCTATGGACTGGCTGAATACGCGTGCGGCTCTTGCCGCTCATGCGCAGTCAGCCGATTACATCAGAAGAGGGAGGAGAGTACCCAGCGCTGAGGGAGCCCGGCGCTGGAGAAAGGTAAATGATTAATACCCTTTCTCCCCCTTCAGCCTTGCGGGAGTGGGACCCTGAGGGTGGGGGCACCATCAGGGCACTATAGTGGTCCTTTAAGTAGTTAATTCACTTTTGTTTCTGTCTATGCAGCCCTAGCCACACCTCCCCTGGTTGTGACTGACACAGCTTGCATGAAAACAAGATGGTTTCATTTTCAATCAGATGAGCTTACTTTAAAGGTTTTTATCTCCTGCTCTGTAAATTGAACGTTAATTACATACAGGAGGCTCCTGCAGGGTCTAGCAAGTTATTAGAGAGCAGGAGATAAGAAATTTAAAAATAATTTGAACTAAAGGAAGTGTAAACATTTAGATGACTTTTTATAGGAAGTGCTTAGTCACATGCAGGGAGTGATTTAACTCCTAAATAGCAGAGAATTGAGCAGTGACCCTGTGGGGAGGTGATTTATACACCAAAACGGATTGATTAAGCTAAAGTTGTTTAGTTGACTAAAGTGTCCTTTAACGACCATATATGAAAAACAGGAGCCATTTTTTTTTTTTTTGAAAGTCTTGGTGTGGAATTTGGCTGTTGGCTGTCATTGATAACAGAAATGTTGGCTGTTTTGTCTGGAGGTTTTAAAAGCTTTTTTTTTTTTTTTCTTCATACGTGTATGATTACATACCTGCTAGACAGCATGAAAAAACATTGCTGAATGAGCTGGTAACTGAAACTTTTGATTTTGGACTTACATTAAAAAAACAAAAAAGGAAGCACCTGTAAAATGAACACACAAGTGCCCTGAGTTTAGTAGAACATAATAATGGAAATGTTTTCTGACATTCTGACAACTGTTGTGTTGTTTTTTTGTTTTTTTTTGTGTGTGTGTGTGTGTCTGTTTAGATACCTGCTGGGTGCTTACCAATATTTCCCACTCCCGTTTTTAACAAGTGTTGCTTTTGCTTTTAGCACTGCCCTTGCTGTTAAAAGACCACTGTAGTGCCAGGAAAACAAACTCTTTTTCCTGGCACTATAGTGTTAATAGGTCCCCCTCCCGCCGAGCTGAATGGGGAGGGAGGGGTTAAATCTCTTGCCTTTCTACAGCGCCGGGCTCCCTAGCTGCTGGGGACTCTCCTCCGCCTTCGGACGCCATCGGATGAATGTACATGCGCGCGTGCATTGTCAGTCCATAGGAAAGCATTCTCCATGCTTTCCTATGGACGCTGGCGTCTTCTCACTGTGAAAATCACAGTGAGAAGCGCGTAAGCGCCTCTAGCGGCTGTCAATGAGACAGCCACTAGAGGCTGGATTAACCCATATGTAAACATGTTTACAGCAGGCAGGGTTAACCCTAGATGGATCTGGCACCTAGACCACTTCATTAAGCTGAAGTGGTCTTGGTGCCTATAGTGGTCCTTTAAGTGTTACATGTAGTTACATTGATCTAGGATGAAAAAGGATGCAGCCTTTAAAAATCAGGTTAACAGGACTGTTTACTCTTTCACACTTTATAATATGTTGATTTCTCTTGAAATTAGTGCTTTTATAAAGGTGCTAATTTGCCGTAGCACAAAAAGAAAAACCATGCATTTTCAATTTTCAGCTCACTGTCTGAATTAAGCTTCGCACTGCTTGTCTTAGTCCACACTGAGAGGTTCCAGCTCTTTGTCTGAAGTTGTGGTGTGTGTGTGTGTTTTTTGTTTTTTTGTTTTTAAATTTATGGACAACATTTGGCAAAAAATGACTACACGATCAAGCTATTAAAAATAAGATATTACCTGGTAATATTTACAGCTGCTATCTACTAACCTCTCTTTATATATCTATATATATATATATATATATATATCTATCTATCTCTATCTAATATATAGATATCTATATATATATATAATCTCTATATCTATCTATCTCTCTCAGTTTCAGAGAAACTGCTATGTTTATAATAGGGTTAATCCAGCCTCTAAAGCCTCTAGTGGCTGTCTCATTGACAGCCGCTAGAGGCGTTTGCGTGCTTCTCACTGTGAAAATCACAGTGAGAAGACGCAAGCGTCCATAGGAAAGCATTATGAATGCTTTCCTATGAGACAGGCTGAATGCGCGCGCAGCTCCTGCCGCGCATGCGCATTCAGCAGAAGAGGAGGAGAGCTCCCCGCCCGGCGCTGGAAAAAAGTTAAAATTTAATCCTTTCCTCACCATCCAGTCCGGCGGGAGAGGGTCCCTGAGGGTGGGGGCACTCTCAGGGCAATATAGTGCCAGGAAAATTAGTATGTTTTCCTGGCACTATAGTGGTCCTTTAAACTTAAAAGGTTACACCAATCCCTTTGTAAAAATATATATATTTTTTTCATTCACCGTGACCTATGGGGTATTATTAATAGGCCTCACCCACACACTCTTGAAACCTGCTTCTTGAAGAGAAGCTTGTGATTGGATGGTTTTGCTGGTTCAGAACGCTTGCGTGCTAGAAGTTAGTGAGGGGAGGGAAATTTTAAATATAAAACTAAACAAAAGTAATGCTTGCACGGCCTGCAAGGGAGAAGATTTTTAGGTCTGTTGCCAGATGTTAAAAAATGCACTGAACTGACTGACGTCTCGTGAGCAGGTGGTATAACTAGCCCCTAGCACACAGGTGCCAATATCTCTGGATGTGCAGTGTTTCAAGTAGAGTACATTCAAATTACTGAAGTTTGGTCATGGTGGTTGGAGTAACCCTTTTAAGAAACTGCTTAGATGAAGCCGCAATTAAAAATGCATGGACCATGTTAAATAAACTCCTGAAAGAAATGTCGGTTATATATAAACAACCATCTTTGCAACATGGAACATCCGCCCTGTGTGTTGTGCAAAGGAAGGCAGGTGCACTCTAGACCAGCGCCTGCTGCTTTCTTTAAATGGCTCTGTAACCTTCTAGGGTCTTTGCATAATTTGCAAAGATCCCCGATGATAACATAAACACTTGGAGTATAGTGCCCCATGGGTCTAGTGAAGGTACCTTTTTGTCAAGTTTTATCAAGTTCAGGATGTTGGTGATTTTATGATATTACGTTTTCTAACAATCCGATATGACAGTATGAACAAGATGTTCAGACAGAGTTTATATCCCATTGTACAGTGCTATAGAATTTTGCTGGTGTTAATAAATGTGAAACTGTGACGCCAACACAACATGCCGGCGCCAGACAGACAATGCATTTATTTTATTTTTTTGTTTGGAGTAACCATATCAGGAGATTGTAATAGTTAAAAGTTTGCTCCAAGCTTCATGTCGACTTCAGTGTTTTGCAGTGGTCATGGTACTTGTATGTTAAGTGTTTCAGTATGAAGTTCTGCACATTGCTGCTGGAGGTGTAACAGCCTCTTTAGCAGCCCAAAATGAACGTTCTGGAATTGCTGTTATTCTGTACATACAAGGCATCTGTCGTTGGCACACATCTTGTCAGGATTAATTTATCACACCTGCTGGTCTTGTCATTGAATTACAGCTTTGGTACATTTTGTTTTCACATTAGTGCATCACTTCCAAAGTCAATGGCCCATAGTATGTTGTCTATATAGTAAAATCTTGTCCAGTACATTGTCACTGATAAGTCTAATATGGGTGTACTGCAGATTTGTTTTACTTTTGAAAAATGGATCACTAATATTCACATTTTTAAGAATGAGTGAAGGAAAAAGGTAAAAAACCAAAACACTACAGTTTTAAAACATGTCTGATAATTAGCTTGCACACTGGTAGTAAACCAGTGGCTTTAAGTGATGTTATAATGTTAAATTGATAACAAATTATTACAGCAATCAAAATGTTCTTTAAAAATAAAGCGTGTTCATGAAATGGATACTTCTGCACAAGGCTATTTTAAGATTTATTGGGTAATTTATCCTTCATGATCATTGTTACTAATTTCTTTCAAGAAAGAAATTCCTTTAGAAAATGTTGCTTTGCAGAGCACATTTGTAGTTGTAACTTTAATTAAAAAGACAGAATTGACACCATAAATGTGCCATTGCATGTACAGAAAATGCTTTGAAGTTGTCTGTAATGGCATGAGGTGCCCTGCTTTAACCTATTAAGCCAAAAGGATGTCCTGGGTTGTGATTAATGACTGTTGTCAAATTGCCAGTAAGTCATGTTTTTAACAGCATTGGCAATCCAGATATCTGTCAAATTTTGTGTCTTTCCTCACCTGGGGGTTCACTGCTCAAGCTAATGCAGCAGCATTATTTTGAGCAAAAGAGGAACAGAAGATTACATGTATATTTTTTTTGTACCAATCAGCATCTACTCAAGGAGATGCACTGTGGGGTATACAGGAGGGGAGGACCTATATTAAGTGTTGTAGCGGAGTAGCAGGGGTTAATCCAAGAGTTCTCCGCTGGAAACAAAGCTTCAGCATACAAGAATATAAAAATACAGCATAATCCCCCTCCCCAAGGACTAGACGACACATAGTCTGGGAGTCAACTCGCTTTTATTGCACAAACTCTGCTTTTATGCATTTGTCCCATGCAAGGGAGGTAACTTCCATAATTATTACAGTATCCAATCACATAGTTGATACCTCCCCCACATCTCCTCCCCTTAGATTAACAGTTAAGCTTTTTAACAAGTACACACTTTTCCCCAATTCGTGGATGTACCCCAAATACAGGGGGTACACCTTTAAATGAGGGGTCCCCTGGTAGCCCTGATCTGGGTGAGCAACATACTCAAAAATCACCCAGATCGGACCAGGGGTTCAAGAGTTATGGCAAGGAAAAGATTTAACCGACCGCACGGGCACAGTAGCCGAAAATAGTTCCATGAATTCTGGCCCTGCGGTCGGTCTCTGTTCGTGTATAAAAAGTCCCGAAAGTCCTTGGCATCCAGGCTTGACTTGGCATTCGTATGAATCCCCTAGTTCACGGGATTCAACATACCGAATGCTGGGTGGTTCGGGGAGTTTATTCGTCACTTTCTGGCGTGCTGGAGGTCTTAGCGGTACTTGGTTAGTCGAATGCCCGATTTGGGTTCCAGGCATTCGACGACCAAGTACCGCTGTTCGTGCGTAAGATGGCCGCCGCCGCGTGTTGGGTAGGCGAATGGCGGCCGCACACGAACCTTCAATTAGCACTCTTTGCAACATTGTTGCCTTCGGTAATGAGGGACACACGACCACACCGGGGTGGTCCCTCACTCGGTATTTTACAGGTTTTCGTGTAAACCACAGTACAGGTAGTTCGTGAACCGATTTACTGGTGATTACTGCCTTAATAGTCATACGGCCAATTGAAATATTGAGACCAATTAAATACTTGAATTATTGAACTTTTCTTAAGAAAAGAAAAGACCAAAAAACACTTATTTACAATGTGAGCAGGATACTACTTTGCTGCAGAAGGATTTAGATAGATTTGGGGACTGGGTACTAAAATGGCAGATGAATGTAATGTAGATAAATGCAAAGTTATGTACTTTGTGGTAAAGCAGGGCTTGCCAAATTCCAGGTCGCCATGGCGACCAGGAAATTTGTCCTGGCACCTGGGATTTGTGAGCCTGTCTCCTGAGGTGACTGGCTGCCTGAAAGCAGAGGCAGGCAGTTGGATCACAGGGGGGCTGAGGCAGGCTGCTGACTGAGTGAGGCGGCCGGCTAATTGAGACGTGAGGGAGGGAGACCGGCTCATGGAGAGCTGTGAGAGGCGGGCGGCTGACAGAGGGATTGGGGCGGCTGGCTCATTTATTGCTGAGGGAGGAAGATGGCTGACGGAGGGGGCAGCCGGGTATCGGAAAGCAGAAGGAGGCGGGCGGACGGATGACTCAATGCCGCGGCGAGGGAGCTGTAATCTCCCTGCTCTGCTCCCTCGCGCGGCTTGTAGTGATGCCGGGTTATGATGTCAATCTGGACCCCGGCTCACTAAACAGTGCGCGAGAGGGAGCAGAGTAGGGAGATGAGAGCAGCCCCACTGGACCCCAGGGAAAGCCTATCCACTCCAGCTCTCCAGAAGTAAGGAGCCTGGGTGGTTTTAGATAAGTAATTACTTGTGAGTAAGTGTGTGTGAGGAAATCAAGAAAAAATAAAAACAATCCCAGATCAGGATGCGTGTGTATAATTTCTGTTTTCAACATTTTGAATCCTCCATATATGTCTGTGAGATAAAGGCTTCTTTGAAAGTGGAGAAGTCCCTGAGGGACGACGGAGCAGAGTCAGACCTATGCACCTGATGTTTTTGGTGTGTGTGTGTGTGTGTGCGTGGGTTTTTGTTTTTTTTTGGGGGGGGGGTGGGGGGTTTCCTGAAGAAATACCACTTGTGGGTTGTGTTTATGGAGATGGGATACTATAAGCTTACATTTGATTGGGGTGTTAAGGCCAGGTTAGCAATGTAAGCCCTTGGTAGTGAAACCTCAACCTGGGTCAATAGAGTAAATTATAGGGTACTGGTTTGCTTACTACCCATATCTCAGCCAATAGGGAGAGGAAGGTGATGGTCCCTTGTGCCTAGCAAAAGTGGGAGTACTAATAGAGAGCATAAGAACAAATAACATTAATGAGAAAACTTTAAACATATTTAAACTTTCAATCGGTTGAAACGGTCTCAGAACCATCAGTCTCTAATGAACTTTAGAATCCATATGTTGGATAACTCTCTGGTTATGTCAAGAGATTTGATCGGTTCCTACACAGTAACAGGATAGGATTCGTTGTCATGGGTGTAATTAAATTTTGCTTGAAATTGGAGTTGAAATGTATCCTCTCAGCCAGGGGTTTGCACAAAAAAAATTGGCGTCTTTTAGCTGCGATTTCTGGTGAATATTCTTGAAAGATGAAAATTCTGTGTTATTGGTAAGTTATTTCATTTGCGCTTCAGTATGCTTGGAGTATGGATTCCTTGTGGCTGCATGAGTCAAGGTTTTAAAGGCGGTGTGCTCATTCTATTAGGAGTGGTTTGTCAGAACTGTAGTTGAGATGCAGGACCTCCGGTATCTAATTTTGGAGAAATGGGAGCGTTTCTTCTGCTCCTAATTTCAAGAGCCTCAACCTTCATTTCTAGTTGTCTGATAAGATCAGATTGTTGTTGAGCTTCCAGTTTAGAGTCCGTTTGATAGCCTTGAATAAAGGCATAGTGACTGGAAGTCACTTTATCAACCATATTGCCAATAGTGTGGTGTATTGTGTAGAATTTTGCTTCCAGTTTAGGACAGTGAGGCAGTAATAGCATCTGTTTAGTGAAGTGGCGTTGGTATTCGGTACATCTAGACTAACTAAAGCGTCCGTTGTGGCTGGGCTTGATGGTGTGGAAGATGGTGTGGAAGATGGTGTGGTTTTTTTTTTTTTTCTGAGCCTATGTGTTAACGAAAGGGATTTGAAATGTTTTGGCTGTGTTTTAGTTTTTTCTGGATTGTACAAATTTCACCAATATTGTTGGTGTAGCAAAGTCTAGAGGAAAAAAAAAAATCCTTATTGACCCCAGAAAGGCAGTCTGATGTCTTCTTTCTTAAAAAGCTATTACCCCACAAATTAAAAATTTACATCCCTGATTATTTTTATTTTTTATTTTTTTTCGGGTATTCATCCAGTTGCTGTTTAAACATACTCTGATAAAACCACCTCTTCAGGCAGATAATTTCACATTCTTATCTGTTCTTACTGTGAAAACCCTTGCCTTTTCCTTAAAGGATCACTATAGTGTCAGGAAAACAAAGCGGTTTTCCTGACACTATAGTGCCCTGAGGGTGCCCCCACCCTCAGGCTCCCCTCCCGTGGCGCTGAAGAGGTTAAAACCCCCTCACCAGCTTACCTTATTCCAGTGCCGGGCTCCCTCAGTGCTGGTGACCTCTCCTCCCCGTCCGACGTCAGCTCCCTAGTGGACACTCCTATGGACACTCTGCGCGATGGATGCGAAATTCGCATCCTGCGTTGCAGATGCGCCTCTAGTGGCTGTCCGGAAGAAAGCCACTAGAGGCTGGATTAACCCCAAATGTAAACATAGCAGTTTCTCCGAAACTGCTATGTTTGCATCTGAAGGGTTAAAACCTGAGGGACCTGCCACTCAGACCACTTCTTTGAGCTGAAGTGGTCTGTGTGACTATAGTGTCCCTTTAAACTAAATCTCTTTTTCTTCCTGTCTAAATGTGTGACCTTGTGAACTATGTAGAGTCCTGTTTATGAAAAGATTTACAGAAATTGATTTGTTTATTATTGGTCCCGAATATATTTGTACAGTGCTATCATATCCCCTCTGAGGTGCAGTTTTTCTAAACTAAACTGACTTAAACTTATTAACCTTTCTTCATAACTAAAACGTTCCATTCATTTTATTAATTTTGTAGGCCTCCTCTGCACTTTTCATAGTGACATATCCTTCTTTAGAGCAGGTGCCCAAAATTGCACAGCATATTCAAGGTCTTACCTTTGATTCATAAAAAGGCAACATTTTATTTTCCTCCCAAGAATTAATGCCCCTTTTTACATATGATGGTACCTTACTGGCCTTAGCAACTGCTGGTGGACATTTCACATTGTTGCATAGTTTGTCTATAAAAATTTAAAAATCCTTCTCGTGTGTGGTTATCCCAATTTAACTACCGTTTAGGGTTTAAGTTGCTTGTGTATTCTTTGCCACAGGGCTTGACAAATTTGTTCGAAATCTAGGAGCCAGCTAGAAAAATAAGGAGCCGGAGAAATTAACGCCAAAAATACAATTCTTAAAGAGACACTATAGTCACTAGAACCACTACAGCTTAATGCAGTTGTTCTTTAGTCTATATCCTGTCCCTGAGCGCTTTTCAATGTAAACATTGACTTTTCAGACAAAAGGCTGTGTTTACATTGCTGCCTGGTAACATCTCTAGCGACAGTCACTCAAATGGCCTCTAGAGGTGCTTCCTGGGTCAGTGCTTCACAGTGTGCAGCACATACGTTAATGTTCCCTATAGAGATGCATTGATTCAGTGCACCTCTATGAGAATTTAAATTGGCGCTGTGGCATTTTCCTTGTGCATGCGCATAGTCTTCCAATGCTATCCTATGGGGAAGCATTGGATTGGCAGAGATCGTCAAGATTGATAATCTCAGCCATGGAGGTGGGGACAGCCACAGCATCATCAGCACGGTGTGGGGAATAAAAGGTGAGTAAAAACACTCACAGGCATACAGACACGCACACTTACTCACAAGTAATTACTTATCTAAAACCACCCAGGCTCCTTACTGGAGAGCTGGAGTGGATAGGCTTTCCCTGGGGTCCAGTGGGGCTACTCTCATCTCCCTACTCTGCTCCCTCTCGCGCACCGTTTAGTGAGCCGGGGTCCAGATTGACGTCATAACCCGGCATCACTACAAGCCGCGCGAGGGAGCAGAGCAGGGAGATTACAGCTCCCTCGCCGCGGCATTGAGTCATCCGTCCGCCCGCCTCCTTCTGCTTTCCGATACCCGGCTGCCCCCTCCGTCAGCCATCTTCCTCCCTCAGCAATAAATGAGCCAGCCGCCCGCCTCCCTCTCAGTTTTCCATGAGCCGGTCTCCCTCCCTCACGTCTCAATTAGCCGGCCGCCTCACTCAGTCCTCTGTGATCCGACTGCCTGCCTCTGCTTTCAAACAGCCGGTCACCTCAGGAGACAGGCTCACAAATCCCAGGTGCCAGGACAAATTTCCTGGTCGCCATGGCGACCTGGGATTTGGCGAGCCCTGCTTTACCACAAAGTACATAACTTTGCATTTATCTACATTACATTCATCTGCCATTTTAGTACCCAGTCCCCAAATCTATCTAAATCCTTCTGCAGCAAAGTAGTATCCTGTTTACATTGTAAATAAGAGTATTTATTTATTTTTTTTCTTAAGAAAAGTTCAATAATTCAAGTATTTATTTGGTCTCAATATTTCAATTGGGGATCTGATGTGCATGCGTGGGAGCGGAAGTGCCTCTAAATGTGTGCTTAACCCTTTAATGTAAACATTAGTTTCTACAAAACTGCAGTGTTTTGGACCGCTGCACTCTGAACACATTTGCGATAAAGTGGTCTGGGTTACTTTAGTGGGCCTTTTAAAACCATTGGATGCAGCCCACCCCGCTCTAAAACAAAAAAATCTGCTAAATTTATCCTGTAATGTAGCATGGCAGTCTGTTGAATGACTGTTGCTCCTCTTTTTATGAGAGCATGATGATTTGTGGTATAATCCATTGTTTCTCATAGAGGAGCTTTAGGGACATATGGCACATATGCAGCATTCATCATTTCTTACAATCTGACGCTTCCCGTGGAGAAGCACTGAACCCAGTTCTTATCTGTGGAAGCATTCCCATTGTTTTTTAGAGACGCCAAACATAAAGACTTTCAATAATTGATAGTCTTCAATGAGGAATTGCATTTAGTGTCTATCTGTTTGACAAAATAAGTTTGCTCAGCATAAATTATTTTCAAGGAATGCAGAAAAAAATATTTGTTTACAGTTTTTTGATAAACGTTGTCGACATTCAAAAAAGCAAATAACTGTTTGTCTTTTTGCTTGGTTGTTTCATATAGGCGTACAGCGAGGTCACGGAGCAGAAGCCCTTATAAATCACGCCGTTCTCGGTCACGGAGCAGACATAAAGTTTCCAAGTCCAGAAGCAGACAGTCTAGCATCTCTCCAGGCACCTTGACATTAAAGAGCAGCTTAGCATCAGAGCTGAGCAAGAACAAGAAAGCCAGGGAAGCCGAAGCGGCCAGAGTCTTAGCCAAAGCTTCCACCACCTCCACCCCGACTAAAACCCACCCAGAGGTTGGCAGCAGTGTACCACAAGCAAACCACACCAAGGAGCAAACAAAGACAAAAATGGAGATTACTCCATCTCCCTCTGTGAAGACCGAGAAACCCAAGGTTAAGGCACCTACACAAGAATTAAAAGTGGAGAACAACCATCCCGTAGATAAAACTTCCAAGCCACCTGTGAAAGTAACTAAGGTTGATACAGTTGGAGATGGAAAATCTACACAGAAAGAAAAGAACAAAGTGCATAAAAAAAGTGTGACTACTAGTGAAAAGGTTAAAATTCCATCCTCTACTTTGTCATCGTTACCCTTTCCTCCAATGCTCTCCAGTGATGCAGAAAGGTATTTTTATATATTTATTTTTGTACAATATTACGTTTTAATGACCGCAACACATCAAAGAAACTTTTCTTTATATGTGTAGTTCAAATTATTGATTGTTCTCCTGTCACCTGTATATCTACCTCCGGTGTGTCTATCTCAAGGCATTGGCAGAGTTTTGTTTTTTAATTTGAAAATGAGAAACTAGTGAGAGAATGGTAAGGAAAACTAATATATATATATATATATATCTCTATCTCTCAGTAAATACACATGAGTGCATGGCTGCTCATCCTTTCCCATAATCACTTCAGTGTTCTGGAATTTCACCTATTCACTATACAACGAATTGACAAGGGAATTGCCAATGTTAGGCCAATATAATGGAATCTGGAAAATGGCTGAATTGAACAATTCTTGTAGCTTGTTGATTTTGGTTTAATAGGGTATTCTAAAAACCAGTAACACTACAGCCCATGGTATTATGGTTCCAGCATACCCTAGGCTCAATTACTTTTTCTGTGTCAAACTTTTTTTGAGTGGCTTCAACTCAAACCAAGGGTCCCTCGTGGAGTCGGATCCTTATTTGGCATTTTTGTAATGTAAAAGTTCCACTTCTGCATTAGTGGTGGTTTTCATTTAATATCTCCTTCTAGGAAATGCTTCTGATTTTACCTTATAAAAGTATATACTGATCTATTGGCTTCTTTATTCAACAATGTTAAGAGTGGCCTGGAGTTTCATTTCCATTAATCTCAGTCTGCCAAAGACCTAAACCTCCTGGTGCTATACTGACACACCCTATTGTACAACATGAACTGTAGGATTGAAATAAAAAGCCTATCACTATACACTTTTTTTTTTTCTCTTTATTGGATAAATGTATATTGTCCAATTGTTTTAGGCAGGTGTTAAAAAATGCTGCGAAGTCAGAATATTTGATAGTGTTAATAGTTTATTTTTATAAAACAATTAAAATTATTATAAAATAAATGTTAAATTAGTGAACAGAAGAAAAATCGAAATCAGATTTTTGGATGACCGCCTTTCAAAACTTCATCTGTTTTTATAGGTACACTTGCAGAAAGTCAGGAATTATGTAGGCCTCAAATAAATTCCAGCCTTCTAGTTTATCTATCCATATCAGGGCAACTGAAATTCCGAAATTTTTATTGAAATAAGTGTGGTTGCTCTTTGTTCCTTTTTTGTAAGTGCCACTCTGTCTCTCTAAGTTTTAGAGGCTGCATCCCAGGACAATTGGTCAAAAAAGAAATGGAAAGGAAACTCCGTCACTTGCTGTATGATTTGCCTCTACCACCTGTCCATACTGGATCTGGGGACTTGACTCATAGTCCAGAAGGGAAGAAAGCACAGTCAAAGAGCAAAAGGAGACCTAAGTAAGTTAAAATCGTTTAATGTTCTAGAAGTATTTTCTGTCAATTACTGTATAATTTATGAGGACTGATGTTATTGTAATGCACTGTTTTACAATGTGATTAATGTTAAGCAAGCAGCTTTTTTGGTGTAGGATTAAAAATGCTCAGTTGTATGAAACCAATTGCAGATAGTGTTCTTTCCCCCCTCTCCCCTGTCCCAGTGTTTCTTTCTCACCCCCCCGTCTGAGTGTTTCTTTTCCCCTCCCCCCCCGTCCCAGTGTTTCTGTTCCCCTCCCCGCCCCAGTGTTTCTCCCCTCCCCCGCCCCAGTGTTTCTGTTCCCTCCCCCGGCCCCAGTGTTTCTGTTCCCCTCCCCCGGCCCCAGTGTTTCTGTTCCCTCCCCGCCCCAGTGTTTCTGTTCCCTCCCCGCCCCAGTCCCGCCCCAGTGTTTCTGTTCCCCCTCCCCCGCCCCAGTGTTTCTTTTCCTCTCCCCCGCCCCAGTGTTTCTTTTCCTCCCCCGCCCCAGTGTTTCTTTCTCCTCTTCCCCGGCCCCAGTGTTTCTTTTCCTCTCCCCCGCCCCAGTGTGTTTTTCCTCTCCAGTCCCAGTGTTTCTTTTTCCTCCCCCGTCCCAGTGTTTTCTTCCCCCCAGTGTTTCTTTTCCTCCCCCTGCCCCAGTGTTTTTTCCCTCCCCCGGCCCCAGTGTTTCTTTTCCCTCCCCCCCGCCCCAGTGTTTTTTCCTCCCCCTCCCCAGTCTTTTTCCAGTGTTTCTTTCCCCCCCCCGTCCCAGTGTTTCTTTTCCAATATATATCCAATTTATATTTCTGTATCTTAGGATTTGTGGTCCTCGCTGTGGTGAAATCCATGAGAATGAAATTGATTGGGGCAAACGTTGTGTGGACAAGTTTGATATCATTGGAATCATAGGGGAAGGCACCTATGGACAAGTTTACAAAGCCAGGGATAAAGACACAGGTAAGAAAAATGGGTCCATTGTTAAGCAATATATATATATAATTTTTTATTTTTTTTATTTCTTCACTGAAAATCACTGTGATTTTTCTAGGCCAAGTTCGTGGAATCACCTGTCAGCCTTATTTTGATGTCAGCTTGTCAATAATTGAATGCTGACAAATAAAATAAGTCCTATAGAGAAAACCTAACTTAATATTTCTGTTGTTGCTTTAAAACCTCTTATTAATATTATTATTATTTATAAAGCACCAACAAATGCATCGCTGTGCAATAGATGGTCTAACACACTAGTATTTGTAACAAGACGCGTTGAACGTACAGGAAGAGAGGGTGTAGAGGACCCCGCTCAAGCGAGCTGGATAGAGTGGGGTATGGGTAGGATGTATTTCATGTATGGGAAAAAGTAGATACTAGAATAGTTTACAATGGATGTTTTTTTTCGATGGCACAGTTGCAGGAGAGGAAGCAAAGTTGGTTTCCAAGGTGTGGGGATTGAAAGCTAGTAAAAAATTAAATTGATATGCATTGCTAAAGAAGTGTGTTTTTAATGATCCTTTGAAGGAACAGAGACTAGGTGAGAGTATAACGAAGAAGGAAAGGTAGTTCCATAGGAACGGAGCAGCCCTAGAGAACTCTTGCAGGTGGAGTACGAACGGCGGATAGAAGCAGAGCGCAAGCACTTGGATGAGACATACTTGTGTTTTAGTGTGGATCGGTAGGAACAGTGTTATGTAGAGATTTGTAAGCAAGCACCAGAATTTTAGATTGAACCATAAATCTTACGGGAAGCCATTGTAAGGACTGACACAGGGTCGAGGTATGGGACGTGCGGGCAGACTTGAAGATGAGCCTTGACACCGCATTCATTATAGACTGTAACGGGGCAAGCTGGAAACACGTAAGATCACTGAAGAGTTTCAAGTGGCATGGACCAGCACTTAAGCCATATCTGATGTTAGGGGCAAATGAAAGGTATGTTATTGAGATGGAAGCAGCAGGATTTGGCAAGTGACTGGATTGGTGAAGGAGAGTTTGGAGTCAGAACACCTAGGCAGGGAGCCTACGAGGTGGAGTTGATGGTAGTGTCATTGACTTAAAGGGATACAGACATGTGAATTGCAACACTTGAGGGAGGAAAGACCAGAAATTCTGCATTGGACAGGTTAACTTTAAGGGCGTGATCAGCCATTCAGATAGAAATGGCAGAGAGGCAGTTGGAGACTCGAATCAAGAGGGACGGTGAAAGATCAGGAGAGAACAGAAATATTTCTGTGTCATCTGTATAGAAGTGATATTGGAACCCAAAATGGCGAATTAGTTTACTTAGGGAGGCAGTATAGATTGAGAACAGTAGAGTAAGAAGGACAGAAGCTTGAGTGACATCAACTGAGAGGGGTAGCATAGAAGAGCGAGAGCCAGAAAAAGAAACCCTGAAAGCGTGCTGGGAGAGGTAGGAGGAAAACCAAGAAAGAGCGGAGTAGTGTAACTAGTCTAGTTTTCTTTTCCGGAAGAGCCAAACTGTACAAGCGTAGCATCAATTTATAGTGGAGGAAGTCAGATGCAGAATGAGACTTTCTCCAGCGACGTTCAGCATTTCTGGAGCATTTTATTTGTAGGTAATGGGTCAGCTTAGTGTGCCAAGTGGCCATCTAAGGATTGGTCATTTGGTGGTGTCCCTAGTGGCAATGTAAACACTGACTTTTCATTGAAAAGGCAGTGTTGACAAAAATGCCTGAAGGGAGCTATTATACTCACCAGAACAACTACATTAAGCTGTAGTTGTTCTGGTGACTATAGTGTCCCTTTAATTTTAATATTTGAGATAAATATAATATAGTTTGCTTTATATTAATATCCCTCTAAGCTTTAATAGCTTTCATTAAAAAACTTACGAGCTTTAATTGTCCATTGAGTCAGTACAACACAGTTCACTATTTTGTGAATCAACTTAATTATTTTAATATTATTTCACAATTATGTACATCAATCATATGGCCTTTAACATGTTTTCTGTATTTAGTGATTGATTTTCCTGATGACAGTGTGAAGAATTATGAATAAAATATTCATGCACACCAACTCAGCAAATCAAAACTGTTCCAAGATGGAAATTGATAGACATTAAATGTGTGTATATCTATATATATTTTTTTATTTTTTTTAACATACCCTTTTGCAGGAGAAATGGTGGCTTTGAAGAAAGTGCGTTTAGACAATGAAAAAGAAGGCTTTCCTATTACAGCCATTCGGGAAATCAAAATCCTTCGCCAACTTAACCATCAGAGCATCATTAACATGAAGGAAATTGTTACTGATAAAGAAGATGCTTTGGACTTCAAGAAGGACAAAGGTTTGAACACAGATACTTGTGTACTTGTGAATTTTAATATATATTATAAATAAATTCTTAATGAGAATTGTATTATAAAAGGCACATCCATGGAAAAAGACGCGTCTCTTTCTGACTTAAACTTGCAAAATTTAGTTGTCAGATCACCTTATTTTTCCCAGCACATTGAAATTATAGAGAAAGCGCTTTCTCAAATCACAGCTGTAGCTGTGAGGAGTTTCAGTTAGACAGAATCATAAGATTAGGTGCCCTCAAAGGCACAGGAAAACATCTCCCTTACTAAGGTATAGACAGCTCAGCTTTGTTACTTAAAGGAGCACTATAGGGTCAGGAACACAAACATGTATTCCTGACCCTATAGCGTTAAAACCACAATCTAGCCTCCCTGGTTCCCCCTTGCCTCCCTAAATATAGTAAAATCTTACTTGTATTCAAGCCTGAAGCTGCTGGCCTTGTCCCCGTTTCCTTTAGACCTGCCCACTGCCTGTTGACATCAGCAGAAGTGGTGGTCAGAACCAATCACAATGCTTTCCCATAGGATTGACTGAGACTGACAGAGGCAGATCAGGGGCAGAGCCAGCACAATTCAAACAGAGCTCTGGCCAATCAGCATCTCCTCATAGAGATGAATTGAATCAATGCATCTCTATGAGGAAAGTTCAGTGTCTGCAGAGGGAGGAGACACTGAATGTTTGGATGCATTTTAGGCACCCATGACCCAGGAAGGATCTCTTACAGCCATCTGAGGAGTGGCCAGTGAAGTTATCATTAGGCTGTAATGTAAACACTGCATTTTCTCTGAAAAGACAGTGTTTACAGCAAAAAGCCTGAAGGTAATGATTCTACTCACCAGAAAAAATTCAATAAGCTGTAGTTGTTCTGGTGACTGTAGTGTCCCTTTAACTCCATGAAATGATTCTGGACATCCTCATGCAAAGCGAGCGTCTTGAAAATCCCCATAAGAAAGTATTGAGCCATTGCTTTCCTATGGGGAAGGCCTAATGCGCACACCGCACATGCACATTAGTTACCCCTCATCACTGTGACGTCGAAGAACGATCAGGTAAGTGGGAAAAACAGGGTTTTTAACCCTTTATTTAGGTCGGGGGACGGACGCAGAGGGACACTATAGTGTTAGAAGCACAGTTACAGTGGCACCTGTCAAGGGGTGGGATATATTAGGCAGCAAGTGAACAGTCAGTTTTTGAATTACATGTGTTGGAATCAGGGAAAATGGACATGCAAAAGGATCTGAGTGACTTTGACAAGGGCTCAATAGTGATGGCTAGGTGACTGTGTCAGAGCATCTCCAAAACGGCAAGTCTTGTGGGGTATTCCTGGTATACAGTAGTTGGTGCCTACCAAAAGTGACACAAGGATGGACAACCAGTGAATCAGCGTTTGGGTGAAGACTAGCCTGTCTGGTCCAATCACACAGAAGAGCTCAGATTGCTGATTAATTGATATGACCGATATACTGGTCATGATGTAAAGGTATCCATACGCAAAGTGCATTCCAAGTTTGCAGGTCAGATTGCCCATGATGACCCCTGTCAGTCAGTGGTTTTAATTTTAGGCTGATCAGTGTGTATAATTATTTATTTTTTTTGGATGCTACCCCTTGGTTTTGGCACAAGTATTTATATATGAAGAAAACTTACCAGCACTCAAGCCACCAGCCACCAGCCTTTCTCAAGCTTCATTTGTTACAGCATAAAGTCTTTACAGCAAAAAAGTTGAGGTCTCAGTTCCTCAATGGAACTTTTATCAAGACAATTAATGTGTGTGTGTGTGTGTATATACAGTCAGAGGATTTGTACTAAAAAGTCTGGGTTGGTTACCCTATTAAGTGCACCTCAACATATATGTGCTTTAGTGATTAGTGATATTTTCAAGAATATTTTACTTTTTTATTTATTTTATTGCAAACGTATTTATTTATTTTTACCTCGTGGTAAAAACAAGAACCATTGACCTCTGTGCACAGCCTCTAAAGGGACACTCCACTACCTAAATATAAAATCACTGTTTAGTAGATACACCTGAAAAGACAACATGCATGCTTTTAATTATGCCTTATTTCATTTGGGTTATGTCTAAAGCCTCTTGCAAAACCTGCATTTCTCTTGCCTGCCTTTGCACACCTGCCCCTTCTAACTCCGTCCAGACTTTCTGTGGCTGTCCAATCCCAAACTTCCCAGTACAGCTCAAGCAGAAGTCTTTGCAGGTCTTTGAAGTATTTGCAGGTGCTCTGAGCAATTCCTGCCTCTTGAGTTTAGCTTCAATGAGCTAGCCAAACCAGAAAGTAACGGCCTATTGTCTCCTTGAAAGTCAGAGGATGTAACCAGATTAATTTATAAAAGTTTCATTTTCTACTGAAATCTGCACGTTTTGCAACATTAAAAACAAATAGGACAGTCTTCACACATAAAGCTTTCTAGCAGGCTAAAGTGCTTTACTGGTCAAGGATAGGATCCTATGGTGCATCAGATTGTTGGCATGCTGTTTCTCAAGAGTTATGGGATGTCTGTCCATTTGCTCCCACCATCTTAGAGAAGTAGCATATATATCTTACAATCTGTACAGGTACTTTTGCCAGTATAATGCATAGATCAACTGTATACCTACCTAATGATGATCTTGTCATTATTTTACAGATTACCATTTACTTTAGTACAGTGTAAAGTTGAAAGACTAGCAAATGCAATCATTTAATTGTAAAACCATTTTATTCTTTTTAGGAGCTTTTTACCTGGTCTTTGAGTACATGGACCACGACTTGATGGGTCTGTTGGAGTCAGGTTTAGTGCTCTTCAATGAACTCCACATAAAATCCTTCATGAAGCAACTTATGGAAGGCTTGGACTACTGTCATAAAAAGAACTTTCTGCATAGGGATATCAAGTGCTCAAACATACTACTAAATAATAAGTAAGTCACTGTTTATAATTATTTGAAATAGAGCAACATTTTCTTCCGTGTCGCACATCACAATGGTGTTACAAACAACTTCATGTACAGTATTACAGGAATCTGGTTAAACAGCTTATATATGCAAAAAAATCAAAAAATGTGAATGTGCTTTATTACATTTTAATTTACTATAAACTTGGTAAGATTACAATGTTGGATATGCCTCGCGTTAGGGGAGTTTCTTCAGTATTCACCCCCCCAATCCTTACCCATCTTTGTCCGTTTCGGGTGAGTCCATTAACGTCAGAAAGAGAGATAAATCCAACACTGTAACCTGCTCTGCATGAACACACTGATCTGACTCCCTCTTTTCTTCCGGTCAGATTTTGTAAGCTGAAGAGAACTTCCAACTGCATGTGTCAATTTCAGGCATGCCCAATGCACTATTCCAGTACTCAGAGGGATAGAATATTGATTGGTTGTCAGTGTCTACTCTGTAGTGGTGGAATGCAAGAAAGAAGTAGATAAATGTGAAAATAAATCTTATTTACATGCTTTTTTCAGTCTGCAGAGTTGAGGCCACTCAGAGTGATGCATGTCCCTTTAATTGCGCAGCCTTTTTAAGGGCATTCCAACTGTACCCTATGTTTTTGCCTGTAGATACAGCAGTGAATAATGGCTGATACTGACCAATAGATTGGGACAACAGCTTGATATCCTCGGCATAATGTAGTGATGGCTAACCTTGACAGCATAAATTGTTTCTGCACTAGATTTCCCATGATGCTCAGTTAGCTTTTAGACTCTAAAAGCTAGCTGAGCATCATAGGAAATGCAGTCCAGAAACAATTTATGGTGTCAAGGTTAGCCATCACTGGCATAATGTGTAGTGTAGTGTAGTGTAGTGTAGTGTAGTGTGTGTGTGTGTGTGTATGTATATATGTATATATATATATATATATATATATATATATATATATATATATATATATATATATATATATATATATATATATATATATATACACACAGAATTCATCCATCTTCCTGGTTCCTAACACACAATTACATATTTCAGATTGGATGCTCTACAAGAGTAGCTACTGTTGATATAGGTTGGACTATGCTTGATGTAATATATATATATATATTAAATTCTTTGGTAGTCTCATCTGTGACAATTCTCATTTGAATTTTTGTAAGGATGATGAAAATGTCAACTCCATGTTGGTTTTGTTTGTTGGCTTGTTTCAAATTAACTTGTATGTAGTTAACACAACTGTATTTATATTTTGTATCTCCCTTACTAATTTGTTCTCTCTAAATTCATTATTTAAATTTTTTTAAAAGGGGGCAAATCAAACTTGCAGATTTTGGACTTGCTAGACTTTACAGTTCTGAAGAAAGGTACGCCAATGTGATTATGTGTAGAACCTAAGTGTTGTGTGTAATGTGCTAAAACAGCAACAGCAGGCAGTTTCAGTTGATTGCCTTTGATATTTCAAGTCCTTAGAATTGTCCGCACTAAAAAATATTTTCTCTGTATATACACTCAATAATACATCTGTTATGAATTAAGAGAATCTTGTCATTTTTTTGAGGACTAACCAAGAATAACTATGGTGTAGAACCTTGTGTCTTAAGATGGAGCACATGTTCCGCAATAGAGGGTTTAACCTGACTCATTTCATTTGGATGAACCTGGTCAAATTAATTTTTACACCTGTATTATAGTGCAAACCGCAGGATCTACCTACTGGTCCAAATGGATATGATTGTGGATGTTTATCAGTGTTAATTTTGGCGTCAAATTTCAATTTACTTTTAGTCATAGTCTTTTGACTAAAAAGCCATTTTAGTTTTCGTCCTGGTTTAGTCATCTTTGTTGTTTGTCGACTAGAATCTGACTAAAATTGTTAGTCGACAAAATTAACACTGATGTTTACTAAGAATATTTTGCTTGAATCTTCAGAGAATTGTAACATGGGTGCCCATGTGCCAATTAACTGTATCCTATATTCATCAAAACAACTTTAGCTTCATGAAGCCATTTTGGTATATAGATCACACCCCTGCAGTCTCCCTGCTCAATTCTCTACCATTTATGAGTTAAATCACTTTTCAATTGCTGGAAAAATAATAATGGTTTCATTTTCAATCAGACTTTAACTTGCTTTAGAAGTTGTATATCCTGCTCTGTAAACTGAACTTTAATCACACACAGGAGGCACCTGCCAGGGTCTTAATTGACCAGGAGATACCGTATTTTTCGCTCCATAAGACGCACCTCACCATAAGACGCACCTAGTTTTTAGAGGAGGAAACCCAGAAAAAAAAATATTCTGAACAAACTGTTCCATAGTGTTTCTTACCATGGGACAGTTTGTTCAGAATATTTTTTTCTCCCCTGTCCCATAATGATCTTTAACCCCCCTTTCCTCTGTCCCATAGTGATTGTTAACCCCTCCTACCCTGTCCCATAGTGATTGTTAACCCCTCCTACCCTGTCCCATAGTGATTGTTAACCCCTCCTACCCTGTCCCATAGTGTTCTTTAACCCCTCCTCCCCTTGTCCATTAGTGTTCTGATCCCATAGTGTCCCCCCCTCCCATTGTCCCATAGTGCACTTTCCCTCCCATAGTGTCCCCCCCTGCCCTTGTCCCATAGTGTCTCCCCCTCCCCTTGTCCCATAGTGTCCCCCCTCCCCTTGTCCCATAGTGTCCCCCCTCCCCTTGTCCCATAGTGTCTCCCCTCCCTTGTCCCATAGTGTCTCCCCTCCCTTTCTCCCATAGTGTCCCCCTCCCCTTGTCCCATAGTGTCTCCTCCCCTCCCCTTGTCCCATAGTGTCTCCTCCCCTCCCCTTCTCCCATAGTGTCCCCCCTCCCCTTCTCCCATAGTGTCTCCCCTCCCTTTCTCCCATAGTGTCCCCCTCCCCTTGTCCCATAGTGTCTCCTCCCCTCCCCTTGTCCCATAGTGTCTCCCCCTCCCCTTGTCCCATAATTACTTACCTGTCTTGGAGCGTGGGCCGGCTTCACAGCGCGCTCCGCGGTCCAGGAACTAATATTTCAGGTTCCGGTTTCCGGCGGGACTGAAAGGAAGTGTGCACACTCAGTGTGCACACTTCCTTTCAGTCCCGCCGGAAACCGGAACCTGAAATAGAAGTTCCTGGACCGCGGAGCGCGCTGTGAAGCCGGCCCACGCTCCAAGACAGGTAAGTAATTCTTCACATTCGCTCCATAAGACGCACAGACATTTCCCCTCACTTTTGAGGGGAAAAAAAGTGCGTCTTATGGAGCGAAAAATACGGTAATACATTCTAGTTTAAACAGACTGTGCAATATAGGAACCTATTATATCAAGGTTAATTTTCAGGAAGTGTTTAGGAAAGCTGTGTAAGTAAAATGCAAGGATTTGTGCCAGGGCTGCATAAACAAAGTAATGTAACTCCAGAGAATTGAGCATTGAGACTGCAGGGGCATGATCTATACATCAAAACTACTTTTATAAAGCTAAAGTTGTTTTGGTGCCTATAGTGTTAACTAGGTTAGTTTTTGTTTATCGGTATGGATAGCACTGCTATGCCGTACAAATGGGTGGGTAACATGAGAGGGTGTTGGGCACATATATGAAGTTTATTTTTTTTAAAACAATGTTTCTTGTGTGCTATTGCAAAGTAGTGCATCATTGTCCCCATATACATTTCACTCCAGATTACGTCTCCAGACTGATATATTTTGTATCTTTCAAATTTTATTTATATACTAGAAAAGCTACAATTTCTGGAGAAATTGTGTGAAGTGTTCTTGCCTCCACCAGTAGTCAACAACTGGAGTGGGCGGAGTAACTATTATTTATTTATATAGCACATTTAATTGCAACGTTGTTGCCTAAAGTGCTTCACAGTTACATTAAACCATACATTTAGAAAAACATTAGCAGGTGTTCAAAAGGCCCTATCTATGACATCACTTGCTGCTCCAGCCTGGCATAGGTCAGAGTATTTTGACGGTTGCCATCTTCAAACTGTCATATTTTAACAACTATACATCCTACAGCGAAGAGCTTTATATTGTGAGAATCACAAGACCCAGATCTACATTTTGATGTCTCTGAAGTATTAAAAATGAAGGCACAGTCGCAGTTTAGAAATTGTCCTTCAAATTTAAGCTGGCTGGAGTGGAGTTTTTAATGAATGTCAATGGATGGCGTGAGTTGCAAACAAATGGTCATATTGTGAAAATGATCAGGACTATGGCTTAGCCGTGGACATGTTTAGTGGCAGCAGGGATAGCTGAACGTTTTGATATTAGATTTGTGTAGGTGGGCTTGAAAATGAGGGAGTGGTGGCAGTTTAGAAATCATGTCCTGATTTTTCAGCTTTTGCCAGCTCCCACTCTAGTTTTGAACATTTTGCCATTCATTCCTATGGGACCAATTTTGCCACAAGAACGACGATATTCCATTCGGCGAAACGTTCCACAAGTCATAGCAATCCGATCGGGAACAATCCGCACGTTTCGGTATATTACTGTCTATGTAGTGTAAAAACTGTGGGAGGAGTTAGGGTGGTAAATTTGGCTATAATAAGAATAATATATATGTGAGATAACATTAAGTGGTCTTGCTATGCAAGAACACTTAAATATAAGGAATATTTATTAATTATACACTCTGTTTTAAAGGGAGATACGAATAATATCTCTTTGTTTTTTTTGATAGTCGACCATACACAAACAAAGTTATAACCCTGTGGTATCGACCTCCAGAGCTACTACTTGGTGAAGAGCGGTATTCTCCTGCTATAGATGTATGGAGCTGTGGGTAAGTAAGTTTGTGGGAATCACTAAGGATTTACAAATTACTACCGCATTCTCCTATTTTATTTAATATTTACCCCAACTAACCATTCATGGTTTCAGGATCCAATTTTTATGATCACAGGTAGATTGGTAGACATTCAGAAATGACTGACTCTGAATAAGGTGATAATGAAAGCATTTTATAATCAGAAGCAGAGACGATGCTAGACTATTTTGCCATTACTAGTTAACCCCCCACCCCCACAAAAAAACAAAAATTCCTATCTTTGCATGTCTTTCTCCCTCTCCCCAGCCCCTTGCGTGTCCTCCTCCTGCCGGTCCACTGGACATTGCACCCTAGGTAGAGCCAGCCCAGACCTGAAGACCAGTTTTGGCAACGTGTGGTGTAAATGTATTTAATATATCCATATAATGCAGACTTGTAATGTTAATCTCAGCATAAGCACACTTTGGATTAAATAAGTAAAACAGAGTTAAGAGGATCATTCAGTGACTCAAAGGGTATTCCTAATCTGCATGTGTGCAGGCAGAAAATTCTAAACGCCTGTGAGGCCACACTGCAACTTCTATTTTATTCCACTAATAACTCCCCTTCCCCCCTTTGGAATCTAGCTCATATATGCTGTAATGAAGACTGCTGAACTACGTAGTACATAAACATGTTGAGGGTGTTTGGGTTATGTATTTTCTTAGACCGTTGTGGAAGCACATGATTAGCTCGGGAGTTTAGTGAGAACTCACTTTGTAACTGCAATTTTGTGTTTGGTTTTTTTTTTTTTTTTTATTATGTAAAACATTTAGGAGTAAAAAGCTTGGTTGAAAGACAGTATACTATAAAAATTATATTTATATATCTATCTTTAACTCAAAAAATGTGTATAATGTAGATCTAGTAGGCAATGTTCAGTACTCCAGATGTGACGTGAAACCCCTAAAACAATGAGTAGAGCGCTAATAGTTTAGTAGATATACCCCTATAGCAGGTGTAGGCAACCTTTGGCACTCCAGATGTTGTGGACTAAATCTCCCATGTTGCTTCAACAGAATTATGGCTATAAGTGCATTATGGAGTGCTGAAGGGATGCTACAGGGCGCTTCTCCAGGCTCCAGCTAGCTATTAACGAGGAGATAAAAGTTTATTCTAAATGAAACACACTGGTCAGTCAATGAAGGAAGTTTGAAAATTGGATCTCCACTTACAGGAAATGTGAAGGGAGGCTGTGTAAGTTATGGCAGGGGAGGTGTGGCTAGGGCTGCATATACAAAGTAAATTAAAGGGACACTATAAGCACACAGACCACTTTATCTAATTGACAATGTTCTCACATCCCTGCAATGTAAAACAGATGGCCATTAGAGAGACACTTCCTGCATTTTCACAGACTTTAAATCTGAGAACCGACTTTGGACGTCTTCACGCTTTTCATGAAGACACCCAGCATCTTCAAAAATCCCCATAGGAAAGCATTGATTAAAAGCTTTTCTATGGGGAAGCTCTCATCCCCGCTGAAGGATGAGATGGATACAGCACCGAGGGACCTTGTCACTGGATAAAGGTAAGTGTTAAGAGTTTTTTTTATTTTAATTTTTTTTTAACCCTTTCAGCACTGGGGGTGAGGTGAAGGGGGCAGAAGCAGAGGGACATTATAGTTTTAGGAATACAAAACTGTATTCTAAATGGCAAGGAATTGAACACTGAGAGTGTAGGTGCATGATCAATACACAGGAACCACTTAATTAAGCTAAATTTGTTTTGGTGCTTAGTGTATCTTTTAAAGGGACTTTCTAAGTACCAAAACCACTTAATCTTAATGTTGTGCTTTTGGTTCAGCAACCCTGTCTGTGCAGTCTGACAAATGTAGAGGTACTTCCTCTTTAAAGGGACACTGTATTCAATATAACCATTTCATCTCTTTCAATTTGTTATAGTGCCTGGCACTGTCCCTCTATTCACACTTAAATCATTTTAGAGCAGTTTAACACTAAATAAGGGTCCCTGGCTACCCACAGTCTGTCCCTTTTTGGGGTGTGACTGGGGCAGAGATTACACACTTACATGTAGTTAGATCCTTTGTACCAGTTAGAGCTCTGATAGGCTGAGGGTGTCAGCTGACTTCTTTTAGCCTATCATTACTGCTCATGCTAATACTTCCTTATTAGCCAAAGCAGCACAGATGGGATGGGCTGTTGAGGACTCTCATTTAGCATAAAACATAAAAAAATGTAACTGTATAATGATGAATGAAATTACGACACCAGGGAATTCCAGACACTATAACCAATTTAATGAGCGGAAGCAGATATAGTGTCCCTTTTAAAGCTAGGAGTGATGAAATTTTGAAGAAGCACAACACTGATAATTAATCTCTTTGAGAAGCACCCAAATGGTGGAGTACAGTGATGGTCTCACATGCGACTTAAATTGCCAATGCTTCTATATGAGAACCATCAGATCATCAGAATAATGATCTATGAACGGGCGTAGCAGCTACCACAATGAAAATGGGCTACCATTGGATAAAAGGGAAGTTTTATGCAGTTTTTTTTTTTTTTTTCTTCAAAGGGGAAGCCTTTAATCTAAAATTTCATAGGAACACTCAAACCTTATGAATACATATTCTTTTTGTTTTCTTCTATAAATCTCTCTAGCATGTACTCAGTCAATTCATGTAGGATTTCTGATATAATTTAGGGGTTTTATTAAAAAAAAAAAAGTGTTAATCTCCTTTTAGGACTTGGCAGTAATCCCTTTTTTTTTTTTTCCTTATGTTGTTATTCTTTCAAACTAAAATTCAGGTTTACATTTTTCTACTGACTCCTCTTCCAAAGAGTGACTTATTTTCATTTTAATAGGTGTATACTAGGTGAATTGTTCACTAAGAAACCGATTTTCCAAGCTAACCAAGAACTTGCGCAACTTGAACTTATAAGGTGAGAAACGTATTGTTCTACTGTCACAAGAAAATTCAGGACAGTCTCAACCTGATTCACATATTTTTATTTAAGGTTTATTTATTCTTTTAGTAAGAGAATCGGATATTAAAAGTTATTAAATTAAGCTATAATTTATACATCTCCTGTGTCTTTTTAAAATCAAGTTTTGGTGTGGTAATTGGCTAAAAAGGACACACTTGGTAACATTACCACGCTATCTCATTGAAATGTTTATGGTGCATGGAGTTGGATCACAGTTTGGTGTAAAACCTTATTAGATCAGTTTAACTCTGAATAAAGATCCCCTGGCACCCGTGACCCAGAACCCACTTGAAGTATGGTTAAAATGGAGTGTAACTCTGCTTTAGTATGTCAGAATATTAATCCATACTTGCAATGTCTGACTGATAAGCTGAGAGTACTCAGCTGAAGCTCTCTGCTCATCACTGCTAAAATGGAAAAAGTTAGCCCAAACAACATTGAAGGGCTGGGGACCCTCATTCAGTGTTAAACCATTTGAACATTTGTTTAACACTGAACAAATGCACATTGCCAGGGGACTCCTGGCCCCATAGCCACTTTAATTATTTGAAGCGATTTATGATGCCTAACATGTCTCTTTGAAACTTAAAATAACCACAGAACTTGCAGTACATACAGTATGCTGCTAGACTTTTTGCTATGTTTGTAAAATTGTATCTATGTTTTCTGGCTATTTGAGTAGCACAAATGTAGATTAAAATATCAGTGCGTGCAGTTGTTAAAGTGAAGCCTCATAAATGTGTGCATGACTGATGCAATTTAATATATAAAACTGCGATACTAGTGATATGAGTCTCTACAACTTGTACACTCCAAAATTATGCGCAATTTGAATTTTAAGCACAAATTTTTTTTCTTGGGCAACTTAAACAAATAGTACATTTTCTAAAACCGTTTGCTTATGTGATTACCACTAGGTGGCAAAAGTGTACTGCAAATTCGATTTTCTTACTGCAATTGATTGTTGCTGTTTACTGCCCCAAGGTTTAGGAAAAAGCTTCACATTCATATGATAATTATAACTTTAGATAAACTGAAAGACAAATATTAGAAAGTGAAAATCACTTTGCATGTTGTATGTGCAATAGTCCCTGGCGAACAGCCCAGCAGATATCTTTGATTGGTGAAGTCAACATCAGAGCTTTATTTGCCATTGAAGTGAGCGATTTTCATTGGCATTTCTGTACAGAGCTGCTATTGATGTAGCAAACATATACCCTTAACAATAAAAGTAATGGATTTAAGAAATATTTCACAACTTACCTCAACCTGCGGGTGCCAGAACAGGACATTATATCCTGTCACTGTGACATTGTAACCACACAGTGGGTATAAACAGCATTCAATGTCTGCAGTGGTTCACAAAACCATTGAAATCGTATCTGCATTGCTAACCGTGCCTTATTCTGTTTACTTTTGATAGCAGTTTGAATGTTATGATTAAAGGAATACTATAGGCACTGTAATTGCTTCATCCCTTTGAAATGATTTTAGTGTTTGGTTTAATTTAGTGCTGCCCTTCCTGTTCAGTGTAAAACTATTTAAAAAAAAATTTCCAGTGTATTTTTTATTGAGGTAATTGCACGATACAAAATGCATAGGAAAAAGCTTTAGCAAAGACAACTTGAATCAGGGTATTGGGGTACATCCTATATTATATACCTTATTTTTATATATATATTGACACGAGGAATAACCACCCGCCCAGCATTAGCCCCCCAAAAAAGGCAGAGTTAAGGAAGAGTGTGAGAAACGCTAGACATAGTGTATAACGTGGATATGCAATGGTAGTTATCAAGTAAAAGGGAGTGACCTACTTGGTTGCATTTGACGCATCAACACTCTATTACCCTGAGGTGTTTGGGGGGGTGAGGGTGTGGGAGGGAGTTAGGGGGAATGGGGTTGCGTTAAAGGTGCGCATGGCCATCGTGGGTAGCCTAGTTGGGAGGGTAAAAATAAGAATGAGCCTACAGGGTTAAACCTGTCAAGTAGAAATTCTGCCACTGAAAAAAATCAATGATGATAAAACAAATGTAAATCTGACTAGAGTCAATGCAAACATAGTGAACCAATGGAGCTGTTATGCATCCTGCGTCAACACAGGGCTGTCAGGACATTCTTCACCGATCACCAGCTACTTTCCTGGGCATAATTGGCACCATATTATCAATGTCCCATTGTGAAATCGAAGTAAAGGCGGCCCCTGAGGTCGTGCAGACTGAGAGCCCAGTAGAAGCCTGGTGCGCCAGCTATATCTTCCAATATGTGCTTCTTGCCCTCTCTGGTGGTATATGACAATCACGTTTTGCAGAGGAGCTGTTGTGGGACGGCCCACTCTGTACATCCCTTCAAGTGAGTATGTTTTTCACCTATATAGATGGCAGTAAAGAGGAGAGTAAGTGTTGAATGTACTGAGTCAATTCTTCAGTGCCAATTTCGCTCCCAACAAGTGGCGGGTGAGATCTACATGTTGCTTTGTGAGTAGGGCAGAGTTGAATTGGGCCTAACGGGAAGTCACAGATTAGTCTACCACCGCCTTTATGAAACCGGTGAGGGTATGCATTTCCTCACGGATCTGTGCGCCGCCTGCTTGACACATTGTGCGCAGTTCATGCAGGAGGTATTTAAAATCACCCTTGTAGTTGGGGCACTGTCTTCCTCTTCCAGAGTAAGGCTTTTGTCAGCCCATGCTTACCGGAGGTGGTAGGTATCGACCTGGCTCCGGTGTAAGCTTCAAGTATGGCTCTAGATGAGCTGCGGTCGGCGCAGCTCTCTGAGCTCACGGTGAGTACGACTTAGCACTATGGCTACTTGCTCCCCCTGTGTAAGACCAATTTTAATGTTTTAAATGCTAAAGAAGAATCCCCAGTAGAGCATCCATTCTGTACTGCTTGAGCTAATAAGAGAGAGCATGGGCTTGGTTAGCAATTCGGTGAGAGTGTCTGACTGTTTTCCATCCTCTAAAGCATCTATTGCTGGTATGATTTTGTGTGATTTAGAAGTGTAATTTCTCCTTTAGCCATACCTCCATTAGGGGCAGGCTGTGGGTAGGCAAGGACTAGTAATTAACTGCTCAACATGGTTTAACATTGAATGAAGGGACAGTACCAGAAGACACCAGACAATATATCCAATTCAATGAGCTGAAATGGTTATAGTGCCTACAGTGTCTCTTTTAAAGATAACTGTGACACACATGAACATGATTCTTTTAACAGTGGATAATTGGTTTTTTTTGTGTGTTTTTTTTTGCTATTTCTTTTTGTTTTAAAGCCGTATGTGTGGAAGTCCTTGTCCTGCTGTGTGGCCTGATGTGATAAAACTCCCATATTTCAACACCATGAAACCAAAGAAGCAGTATCGCCGGAAAATCAGAGAAGAGTTTGCTTTGTAAGCATTTATTTTAATGTTCACCAGACATTCTTATTAGTACATGAAATAAAGTGTAGACAATTGGCACATAATCTGCAAACTGATGCTTACTTCTTTGGGTTGTGAGGCTCTAATTCATATTCAAGGAAAGGGATTGCATTCTTTAAATCTTGTAAATATTCTAGACCAGAAGATACCAAAGCATTCTGCTTATCTAGTGTAGCACTGTATCATCATCCAGTGAATAGTAAGTATTATTCAAAAATCACTTGTTCAGCAGCTGCTGCTACACATGCCTCAATTACTCACATAATAAGTACACATTTAACAGCAATATCTGTTTTTACTTAAACTTAGTCTTCTATTGCTGTTAACATTTACTTTTTTTTTATTTTCTTTGCAGCATCCCAGCAGCCGCATTAGATCTGTTTGATCACATGCTGGCTTTGGATCCTAGCAAGCGCTGTACGGCAGAACAAGCCTTATTGTGCGAGTTCCTCCGGGATGTAGACCCTGCTAAAATGCCACCACCAGAGTAAGTAACACTTTCCCCTCTTTCCTGAGTTTATTATGTGAATGTTTTTTATGAATTTAGTAATCTGATAATGAACTCATATTTTCTGTCACATTACAATATGTAATTTAACGTATTCATGCTACAAAACTTGTGACATACATCTTAAAGGGATACTATAGTCGCCAAAACCGCTTTATCTTAATGAGGCATTTTTTTGTGTATAGATCATGCATCTGAAGTCTCACTGCTCAATTCTCTGCCATTTAGGAGGTAAATCGTTTTTGTTTCTGTCCATGCCGCTATAGCCACACCCCAGCCTGCATGAAGAAAATGGTTTCATTTTAAATCAGATGTTTACTTTATCTCCTGCTCTGTAAATTACGTTTTAAATTACACACCGGAACAGTGGCGTGTACACAATCCATGGGGCCCCGGTGCGAAACTGATCCCCCTTCTCCCCCTCCGACATGCACATTCATACAAACACACGCACAGACGCATACATATGCACAGGCGTATAAAGACGCATACATACAAACAGACACACACACAAGACTCACATACATACTACAAACAGACAGGCATACAGACATACACGTACACATACATACACACAGACAGGCATACAGACAGACACATGCACATACAGACAGACATACAAAATATTTTAGTCACCCTCCTGTTTCCTACCTTTTAGAAGCAGGAGGGTGGTCCTTCCTCTCGCGCGGGCTCTCTGATAGCTGGGAGGAGTGACCGGGGCAGTCACTTCCTCCCAGCATAGATATCATCACAGGGGGCCTGGTCGTGCTGTTAAAGTGCCCTGCCCGGCCCCCTAAAAATCCATCTCCATCTCGTGGCCCGATGAACCCTCTAACGGCAGCTCCGGCAAAACATCGCGGTGGGTACAGTGTTGCAGGGGTCCGCAGGGCGGGCAGCTGCAACCCCTATATGTACGCCAGTGCACCGGAAGCTTTTGTAGACTATTAAGAGTGCAGGAATTTCTAAATTAAACAGACTGTGCAATAAAGGAACTGGAAATATTAGATTTCTCTTTACAGGAAGTGTTTAAGAAGGCTGTGTAACTCAAATGCAGGGAGGGGTGACTAGGGCTACATAAACAAAGTGATTCAACTCTTAAATGGCAGAGAATTGATTAGTTAGACTGAAGAGGCATATATATATATATACACAAAGACTGCTTTATTAAACTAAAGTAATAACTAGTGAACTTTTAATAGTTGTGTGTGCATTTGTTGGCCGGATGGTTTCTGTCATCTTCTTGTTTCTCTTGTGTGCTGGCTGTAGGGTGTGCATGTGTTTGGTGTGTGCTGGCTGAATGGTGTGTGTGTGTGTGTGTGTGTGCGCGCGTGTCTCTGGTATGTGTGATGTATGTTGGATCTCTTACCAATCCATAAGTCACAAAAGCTGTACTTTGAGTCTTGAATGCACAAAGCACGTCCTTGATGATAATCCACATCCATAAATGTGTGAATGCAAAGAAGAAAAAATTCCCTTTGATTACAACTTCGGCTTGTGGAAATTTGGAGAAATAATTTTTATTTTATTTTTATAACTTTTCAATTATACTAACATTTGATGACATGCATAAAACGTTGTCAATTTATCCATTGACATAATTTGATTAATATTAAAAACAAATAGGACATCACCGAACATAACAAACAAACAAAAAAAGACACAGATCGAAGATGAAAAGTTTACCGCTTAACATCATGGGAGGGTATCTCTCACTTATCATTTCTCAACCTGTTCCAACCACTTTTTATACACATTATATAATGTTCTACAAATGCCCATCTCCATTTTGATTTGGTATATAATTTTTATTTTGACCTGATTCCAGCAAAGGGCTATGACCAGCTTCTGTCAATCAACATCCTGGCAGCTGCCAAGATGTGTATTACAATAGTTTAAGCAGGACCAAAACATTTTTGAATGTTTAATTGTAATAATAGAAGTCTGGGGTTGAAATTAAGTTTTTAAAAGTAAAATTCGAATTTTTGTGTATCATTTTCCAAAATAGTTGGACAGGTAGACATTCCCACCATATATGCAGGAAATCACCTCTGTGAACTAGGCATCTAAAACCTCTATCTTAGGCGTTGGGGTAAGTCCTTGACCGCCTACTTGGGACCAGGTACCATTTGTTTAAGAGTTTATAGTGGATCTCCAACAGATTTAAGCAATTTCATTGACCATTTTCAGTGATTCTGACCATTCCTCACACCCAATACCAATTTTTAGTTCTTGCTGCCATTTTTTTTATCACCGGTAAAATAGGTTTGTTAGGGTCTCCCTTAAAGGACCACTATAGTGCCAGGAAAACATACTCGTTTTCCTGGCACTATAGTGCCCTCCCGCCCTGCTCTGGAAAGGGGAAAAGGGTTTAAACTTACCTTTTTCCAGCGCTGGGCGGAGAGCTCTACTCCTCCGATCCTCCTCTTCTCCTCCCCGTCGGCTGAATGCGCACGCGTGGCAAGAGCTGCGCTCGCATTCAGCCGGTCACATAGGAAAGCATTCATAATGCTTTCCTATGGACGCTTGCGTGCTATCACTGTGAAAATCACAGTGAGAAGCACGCAAGCGCCTCTAGTGGCTGTCAATGAGACAGCCACTAGAGGATTAGGGGGAAGGCTTAACCCATTCATAAACATAGCAGTTTCTTTGAAACTGCTATGTTTATGAAAAAATGGGTTAACCCTAGCTGGACATGGCACCCAGACCACTTCATTAAGCTGAAGTGGTCTGGGTGCCTAGAGTGGTCCTTTAATCAAATCCATACAGGCTGTAACTAGTTTATTGATTTTCATACACTTAATCATTTTTTTTTTCTAATTTAATATGTTTGACAGGTTTATCCATTGTTAAACTTTCTTGAAGATAACCTTTTATTCTAATATAATTAAAGATGTCTTTTTATGTAAACAAAAATCCGCATTTAACCTGTCATTATCAAGTAGATTTTCAATTTTAGTAAGGCCAGCCTTTGTCCAATTGCAAAGATTTAGATCCGCAACACTGTACATCAGTTGAGTTAAAGGAAGACCTGAAATAATTTTATCTTGGAGATAACGGGCACCTCTAAGTTTTTCCCATGTGTTCAAAAGATTATTAAAAACTATACTTCTTGAAAAGATCTCTGTACGATATTTATTTTCTTCTTTTCTCCTTTGTCCGCCAATATATTGATCCCAACTCTTTAATACTATCACTAGATTTTATCAAGCACATTTCAATTACCAAATTTCCTCTTTGACATTATCAAATGGAGTATAAATAATGTGCTAACATACAAGCTTCCAGTAATCTTTTAGCTGGGGTAAGCCTAGTTGGAGAATTCATGGTAATGATGTTTGTTTGTTTATTTATCAAAAAGATATAAAGCAAACATATAAAGGTATAATACAAACGTAAGAAACAAATATCGCTATACTTTAGTGGCATACAATAGTCAATTGCGACTGACCAGGTGGGTCCCCTGTGGTTAGGCCATTAGGTTACTGTGTGGGTCCCCTTATGTGTCCCCGTGAGGTCTTTTCTTTCTCCTCAGTCGTGGGTGTCATCCCTGTCCCACTATTTGTTAGGTGTCTCTCCTGTTCTATAGTGTGGTACATGTGCCTCCCAACCCTTGCCCTTCTTTACTTCCTCCTCTCCTTCAGTCTCTTTTTCGTCTCTTTTGTATTCGGGTCACCCGGTTGTCTCTCAATGCGTCCCCCGCTGTTAATTGGCGGTGCATGTCCGTGGACTGTCCCCTTGCAGTCATATTAATGGGTTGAGAGGTCCCCCGGATCCTGTGGTGGTTGTAGTGCCTGATCGTGTGTTTGGTCCCTGTTTGTCACCCACTGGTGTCCTGTCTATCTCCCCCGCTCCCCCTTCTGTGTTTCTCATGAAGGCCATCTCCCCCCTGTCCATTTTGTACCCCCGCTGTGGTCCCCCTCTATCTTGGGTAGTTAGTGCCCGTGTTTCGGACCCGGGTGGGTACGGTGGCAGCTCATGTGGGGAATGTAGAGCCCTACAGTCAGGTGCGGCCCGCCCGTGACACATATGGAGTGAGGCCATAAACAATCAAGACATTTTGGTATGACACGTTTGCAGCTCCTGCAGGGCTGAGAATGCCCGATTAGGTAACACTCCCTGACAGCACATGTAGAGTGAGGAATATATCAGTTAGCATAGCTCTCTAGCTACTCGCTTAGGGTTAGGAATTCACAATTTGGTACAACATGACATCGCTTTGTGTAAATTTAAGACACTTTTTGGTACCACATAATAGCGGCTTTTGTGGGGTTGATTAAAAACAGGTTGGGACAACCCTCGGACCGCTCATATAGAGTGAATGGTATGCATGTTAGTATAACATTCTCGCAGCTCGCCTAAAGTTAAAAAATAAACAGTTTAGAGTAGTATGTTATCTTCTTTGGGGCCACCCTTGTACAGCTGGTGCAGAGTTAAAGATATGCATATTGGTATAGCTCTCTTGCCTAGAATTTAACGTGAACAGTTTAAAGTAACTCTTTGGTGGCTCGTGTGGAGTTTAAAGAAAAAAGGAAAAAACTATATGGTATAACCTTGTAACATCTCTTATAAAGTTTAAGATCTGGTGACCTGTAATGTCTCATGTAGAGTTTAAAGTCTCGCAGTCTGGAGGTTTGCGGTAGCAGTTCATATGGGGTAAGGGCAGTCCTTTCGGCTGCGATCTCTCTTCAGGGCTAGCCGCACTATGGAGGTTGCTTTTGTGTAGATCGCCGTTCCGCCCCCGCCATGCCAGTTTTTTTCTCTCCTCTCAGTGGTGAGTTTCTCCTTGGGGTGAGCTCAGTTCGCTCCTAGTGGATTGGGCTGCAGCTGCGATAACTGAAGTCACCTCAGAAGGTCCGTGGGGTCATCTGTGACGGAGAGCTAAAGCACCGCTTCCCCGTGTGACACCACCAAGGTACCCAACACTCCCCACCAGTACCTGATTCTGTGGTCTCTGAGCAGTTTAGTGGTCGGCATGAATTTGCGTCTCTCCAACAGGAATGCAAACGGTAAGTCGTCGAAGATTCTGACTTGGCAGATATCCACCTCTGTGTGGGGTGTATTCCGTGAGCGGGTCAGGATCGCCATTTTCACCTTTCGGATCCGGAATGCCATCGCCATAGGCGGCAGCCCTCCCTCTCACCTCCATCACTGTAGCCAGTTTGTTAGTGAACTCCAGCACCGCTTCAGGCCCCACTGTTTCGGGCACCCCACGGATGCGTATATTTTTCTTGTGGTGTCTAGCCTGCATGGCCGTGACGGTGCGGGTGAGTCGCTGGAGCTGCTGGGAGAGGTCCTCTACATTAGCTCGGGTCTCTGCGAGGGTGTTATTACGTTCCTCGTCTCGGGTCTCTACTGCTCCAATGCGGGCCTTGATGCCGCCTAGTTCTCCATGGACCTCATCCAGGTCCATCTTCCAGATTCCTCTGAGTTCGAGCAGGAGCCTTTTGATATCCCTTTTTGGTAGGGGGTGATGTATCTGAATCAGTCATCTCTCCTGTAGATTCTGGTGCCTCCTCGTCCGGGGACATCTGACTCACTGGAGCCTCGAGGCCTGCTAGGCGCCATCTTAGGCTGTGCCGGCTGTTGCGGCCTATCGAACGACCACCTAATGTCTGGCATTTTGGAAGCCTCAGAAGCCAGCAATTTTCTATGTTTGCGCCCCATCTCTCTTTTGGGGGGTTCAGGGTTGCCAGGAGCCTCGTTGTGGCCTTTTGATGATTTTTTTTATTTATTTATTTTTTATTTTACAGGAGCTCCCTGTACACACGTCTGCTTAGATGCTCAGCTAGCCAGTAATGATGTTATTTTGCTGTAGCAGAATATCATAAAGTAAAATAAGTTAAGGATTCGCTCAAATTACCTGAACAACTTTGCGTCATTGGTATGATTATGGCCAGGGAGTGCACTCTGATCCTAGTCTACCTACCCAAAGAAGCTTATAACTGCATACATTTGCAACAAAAAAAATACTGCAGGAGGCTGCCTCTTGGATCACTGAAATTAAAGTCTGCCTTTGCTGCATGGAACACATTTCTGTACAGTTCTGGAGAGACCCTGAACTGCTTTGTGCACATGTGCAACATGCAGCCTTGGAGATTACTGCACATAGCCTGGTTTACAAAACTGTGGGCTGATCGCAACTTATTCAGTATTTCCAATCCTCCTGTGTGACATTTGTTTGCTTGTTTTTTTTTGTTTTTTTTTCTTCTTACAGCATTGGGAATATGGGATAATAAAAAAAAAAAAGACATGAAAGCAGCCTTCTATGGTCATTTAAAAATCTATTTCACTGATACTTAAGCCTTTCTTGTACACTCCCAACATTCTAAGTTAATCGTGCTCAAAAGGTACATCTCCAGATATTTTAAAATGCATTAACACCATTAACATTATAGGCACCCAGACCTGGTTTTGCTGGCTTCCTATAGCGGTCTGGGTGTAGTGTCCCGATTGCACTTCGTGTTCACATTGCAACACTAAGACAGCTTCTAGTGGTTTTCTACCAGACAGCCACTAAAGGAGCTTCCGGAATGTTAACAGACTTTTGGTCTGGTAACTGATGCTGGACGTTCTCACACACTGCATAGGAAGCTATAGCGGTAGGAACACAGCTTTGTATTCCTGGCACTATAGTATCCCTTTAAGCTTTGCCATTCTAAAGGCTGGTAGACCATCATGGGAGTTGTAGTTCTACAATATTTACATTTTGGGCACCCATGTTCTAAATAGTTTACACCACATGTAGCCTACATTTCAGAGGAACATTGTAACATTTTTCCCTTTCTTTTGCAGTCTTCCCCTTTGGCAAGATTGCCATGAATTATGGAGTAAAAAACGCAGACGGCAAAAGCAAATGGGAATGAGTGATGATGCAACCGCACCCAAAGTACCCCGTAAAGACTTGTCTTTAAGCATGGATGACAGTAGAAATAACACACCCCAAGGAATGCAGACATCTTCACAGATAAAAACTCAGGGATTTCCTAGTCTTGGATTAGGTGAGTATACAAAGCTGCAGTATGTGTAATATTGGATACACCGATTTATTGATATACTTCATTATTTTTAAAGAAAAAGATAAATGTTAATTGTCTAGTATATATTAAGATCTCAAGTTAGAAGGTGACTTTTGCAAGCTTACTATGTCAGTCTGGCTTCATCTGTGAAATATGGTAATGCAATTAAAGTAGGTTAGGTATCAGTTCTTCATTTGAAAGATTTTTCAGCATTCACACTTCACAAGTACGTTTTCCAAATAAAAAGCAAACCTACACTATAGGTGTGTCCGTGCATAGTGCACATATGATAAAACTCACATTTAAAGGGACACTCCAGGCACCCAGACCACTTCTGCCCATTGGAGTGGTCTGGGTGCCAACTCCCACTACCCTTAACCCTGCAACTGTAATTATTGCAGTTTCAATAAACTGCAATAATTACCCTGCAGGGTTAAGGCCTCCCCTAGTGGCGGTCTACTAGACAGCCACTAGAGGGCGCTTCCGGGATCATAGCACATTATCTGTGCTATAGCGTCGCTGGACATCCTCACGCTGTGTGAGGACCTCCAGCGTCGCTAAATTCCCCATAGGAAAGCATTGCTTTCCTATGGAGAGGTTTAATGCACATGCACATGCGCATTAGGTCTCCCCATCCGGTGGGGGGGGATCAGTCTCCCCCGCCGCCTGACGTAATGGAGAGGAGCGGCGGCAGAGGAAGAAGCAGCGATGTGGGACATGTCTCTGCCTCTGGTAAGTGACTGAAGGGGTTTTCACCCCTTCAGCAACCGGGGATGGGAGGTGGGAGGGAGAGTGGACCTGCAGTGCCAGGAAAACTGATTGTTCTCCTGGCACTGGAGAGTCCCTTTAAGGAATAAAAAGTCAAGTTGACAATTCTTGTGTTGACAAACTAATGGAGTTTGTGATGTTTAAATTGTCTTCAACTAAATATTGGGTACAAATTATATATTTGTTAACTTGGGCTTTTTCCAAAGAAACTTCTGTTAATAGATGTTTGGTACATCTCTACACTTGAACGTCACAATAATGTAAAACACTGCTTAACTTTTAAAAGTCTTATTTGATTTATTTTAGGTAACCTAGGTGCTGGTCATCAGCTTAGCCAGAGTGAAGTGGCCATCTTATTGAATCTACTGCAGTCTCAAGCCAGTGTCAACATGGCACATTGTGTACAGCAGTTGAACATTAAGTTGAATCCTGAAGCTCAACAACAGTTGAACAATGTAACTCTCCCTGCTGGAATCGTAGCTGCGGCTACCAAGCAGCCAGAACAAAAAGAAGAACCCCTTCCTCAAGTTCCAACAACTCAGCCTGAGCTGCCATCCTTTCCACAATTACCAAAACTCAAGGCAGATGGTGCTCCACCAGCTGTGCAGAATGCACTGGCTCTTTTTTTGTCTCAGCTAGTGAAAGACAAAGAACCTAAGACAAGTGATGGTGCAAGAGAAGATGAAATTGAAGAGAAGTTGGACAATGAGAGTTCACAGCCCAAGAGACCTCCAAGTCCCTCACCAAATGGTAAGCGAAGAGGATTTTTTTTTCCACTTCGTTATGCATAAAATCTTTTCTAAACATATGCCATAAAACAGGCTTCCTCTAGATGTTGCTGAACTACAACTGCTATGATTCAATGAATGAAATAGGCTGATAATCATGGGAGTTGTAGTTCAGCAACATCTGGAGTTTGGGGAAGCCTGCCATAAAACAATGTTTGAATAGGGTAGTACTACTTCTTTCTTGTATTCACAGTTACATACATAGATTCGATCTCCACAAAAAAACATACCTTATATACTGAAAAAAGCCTACAGATGGTTTTTGTTTTAGTTTTTAATGTTTTTCTTTTGATATAAAAACCATACAATCTACAAAAATAAGGGATAATGCTGCTTACTGTAACATGTTTTGTTTTTCTTTTCTGCTTTTCAGTCTCTAGCTTTTTATTATATTGTGACATTTAACTACTTAACTTCGACACACACAGTAAACTTTATGGCTGATGAGTCAAAGTTCACCCTACAAACTACTGTATGATAACTACCTGTTCCCCCTATCGACAGTGTTAATAAAGCTCCTACAGCCATGGGTCTCTCCAATCGTTTACAGCAGTAGACTACAATCTTGACAAACTTTGGGCAAAACATCAGCTCCATGATGAATCATGTACAAAATAAGACAATATATTGTGGCGTTTTGAGAATTTTTATGGCAAAAGTAGCAATAATATAAAAAAAATAAACCTAAATCAAATGCATTGCATTTTAGTGGTTAATATTTTGTATGTCATACTAGTTTATCCTATTTCTGTTAAGATTCATCAAGCACTGCTTTATCTGAACCTGGCTAAGGTTAGAGAAAACAGTAGAGTCAAATTAGAGACAAGTCTGTATTAGCCTTTTAATGCTGTAGAGTCAAATTAGAAACAAGACTGTATCAGAAATCAGATCTGCTGTTTGACTGATTGAAAAGAAGAATGGCAAGTTTCAACTCTATATAACTTCTCCAGAAAACTAGCGAACTACAATAAAGGGGAGTTATTAAAGTCAAAAGATATATTGGTGGTGGTTTATTTTTATTTTTTTTCCTCCTCATCATGATTAAAGGAACACGTCAGGCACCAAAACAACTTAATTGGAATGAAGTTGCTATGGTATCCTGAGGTCCCTGGCACCAGAGTACATTTAGGAGATTAACCCCAAAGTTCAGTATCCAGTGCTTGATCATTCTGTCACCTGTCCTTCCGCTGCTCAAAATCTTGAAATTAGGAATCTTCGGCTAGGGTCACCACCATTGACGTTCTAAGCCAATCAGTAGCTCTGATTGTATGTATGTATGTTTCTCAAGCTGTTTTGTGAATGTGGAGCTACTGATTGGTTTATATCAGTGGTTACCAAACCAGTCCTCTCACGGCCCACCAATAGTCCAGGTTTTGTCAGTGTCTCCATTGTAATATAACTGGGAAATACATGAATCGTAGATTGTTGGTGGGCGATGAGGACTGGTTTGGGAACCATGGGTATAGAGCATCAGCTGACCCTTCAGCCAATTGACAGCACCTCTGGCCAAGGCTTCCTCTTTCAGGATTTTGAATAGCGTAAGGATGTGGCAGAGTGATCATATTCTTTGTGAACTCCAGTGGTGTGTTGACGGGGATATTTAACCAGATGTTTTGTCAGTGAATTGCTGATAAAATTCTATGAAGTCTCTATATATAGCCTAACAAACCTACAGTTCCAGCATACCAAATTTTGCAGTGTTTTTAAAACTCTTTAAAACAAATTTCTTTGTATATTTTGCATTAAAACTGCCAAAATGAAAATTTTGACGTTAATAAAATTTTCGGGGATATTAGTAGAAATTTATTTCATTTTACGTATAGTTTATAAAACCAAACCATACTTGTTCGTTGGAAAAGAAAATGTAATATGAATTAGTGCATAAGTCACTAATGCAAGGACCTCTAAGGTGCTACTGCTTCTTGTTACAATGTGTATCAAATAAATTTTTTTGCTGAAAAATCTTAAAGATTTAGTTTGGGCATATTTAAATATATTTAATGCTATGTTGTTCCTCTTTTTGAACACATTGTACCGGCAGTTAGCTAACTTGTCCTTTACTTATTGTATTGCTTTGTACCATTATTGAATATATAAATATATATTCGATCTACATCAACACTTAGAGGTGTATGTGTATATAGCTTATTTAGTGAAAAAATAGATTTTTCAGGTCCTTAGTGATCAAAGAGAAAGGCAACTAAAATTCACAATTTGACAATAATTTTATGGCTACTTTATTAAAACGGGAATTGCAATTTTTAGACCAAAGGTTAGCCAACTTGGAAAAATTGTCCTGCTTTACGATTTTCTTTTAAAACTAGTAACCTGTGTTTGGAAAATAGAACTAGATAAAAAAAATTTTTTTGTTTCCTGGGTGTGACGTAGGGTGTTGGCAATATTAAAAGGAGCTAAATATGAAGGCAATATGACTCCTACACCTTATGAAAATGCAGCAGTTAAATATTTTCTAACAGTCCTGTTTTTAGAGTTGTTGACCTGTAGACTGGAGAGACACACAGGGTTATTCACTGAACTCTGAATTATCATAAAACGGAGGCAAAAATAGCCAAGTTGTTACTATGGCTGAGTTTGAGAATGTTTCTCCTTTTTGCTGTTTACGTGTAATTTGTGTAAAAAAAAAAAAAAAAAAGTTTAGTGAATAACTGTTGGTTTGTAAACTGAGGAAAGTAAGGAAAAATTTCACCAAAGAATAGATCTATGTACAGTCAGCTTATGGACGATTCTGTAATCCAACTAGCTGATGGAATCAAAAAACAGCCATAAGATTGTCTTCAGCCATGAATCCTTCAAGTTCAGTTCAAGGTCTGTTCTCAGACCATGGTGGCTCAGGAAGACCCTGGCCTTCTTTGCTGTTTGGTTACAGACAATCGCTTTTGTTACAATTCTTCTAAGTTTGTTTTGATTTACCGAACTTTAAATGCCTTATTTCATTTTTGTATTAGATGAAAATGACTTGGAAGACAGCTGTAATCCACACCTCCAATCTCCACACATCTTGCCACCAGATCAGCGCCCTCCAGAACCACCTGAGCCCCCTCCAGCCTGTGTGGAAGATCTTGATTACAGAACAGAAAGCCAACATGTACACAATGCTAGCATAGCTGCTGGTGAACAACATGCAAAAGTAAAAGCACCATTGCATAATATCGTTCAACATCAATCTCAGGAAGAAGACACAGGTGGTACAAGTTTCCCAGTTAGAACACCATTTGTCAAGGCAGCAGAGTGCACTGAAAAATTTGGATCATCTTTCCTCCAAACCTCTTTCAATAATGATAGAGCTGGCAATATTTCCACCAGTATTTTAGAAAGGCATCCGGATAACCAGCCTTTAAATAACTACAGTACTCCATCTCAGACTAGCAACAGGCTAATGGCCCCTTCAGCTTTTCCAGAGCCTTTCTGTAACACTGCCACTGGATACCAGGACAGCTACCTCAGTGCTGATTCCATGTTGTTCAGTGGTGACAAGGACCATAGGTTTGAATACAACCGCAGCCCTACTGTTCTTCTGAGAAATAATGATTGCTCTACTCGATTGGACAATAGTCATTCATTGCCAACAAAGATGCATAATTTTAGCTACAGCACTAACCTACCAGAACACATTGGTATGTCTGATCATATGCATGGTCATGCGTGGACATCCCCTCTACAGGGACCTGCTTTTCCTCAAGGACATCGGGGTCATATGGGCACATATGTCAGAGGTCAAGGTCGGGGCTTACCATTCTGAGTTATTTTTTTTGTTTTGTTTTTTTTCTTTCTTTTTTTTTTTTTTTTTCTTCCCTCAGGCAAAAAATTTCTATGTGGAATGACTTCTGACTTTTCAGTGTAGCTGCATTTTACAGCAGCTCTCTATAAGATATCAACAATAATTCAGCAGCTTTATTTTTACGTGGAAATTGTCTTGAAATATAGTAAATTGAGGGGAGGATAGTAACTGCAATTCATTATGTGTTTTGAAAACTAGAAAGCTAATTTACATAATGACAAATACTAGTAAACAAAAATCTTTATTTTGTACTTTAAAGTTTTATGTTAAATATTAATTTCAAGGGCATCCTCTGGTATATTTTCCCCTGGCACATGCAAGAATTTTGAAGAACTTTGCATATTTGTGAGGTTTTTTTTGGTTTGTTTTTTTTGTACTTTTGGACCAATCTTTGGACAAAAATAAGGAAATTACGCTCCGATAACTTTTGGTATATGTTTATTTGTATAAAATAAATTTAAAAAAATATATATAACTACCTTTTTTTTCAGTCATAGGCCACTGTCAATCTTTACACAGCTTTTGATGTCATTGTGGAAACTGTACCTTGTGCTCATTTCATACAAAAAACATTTTCCTCCCCTTATGATTCAAACGTTTTATCAACTGTTTTTTTCTCTTTTAAACCTAAGGAAATAAATGTTGATCAAAACGATTAACTGCCTCATTAAGTGTCTGATTTTATATTTATTTTGTTTTTTTAAAGCAATTACATTTCATTTTTGAAGAGGTGATTTGTTGGGTAGTGAAAACTTCTTATTCTATTTCAGTAATCTCAAACCTTATGATTTTTAATATAGTAGATGGGATGATTAAATGGAAACTATGGATTTTAAATGCTACATATACTCCACATATTTAAAGGAATATTACAGCGTTGGCAATACAAACCTATACATTACACATATTTAGGTTGCTCTCCCAGGTAATGGTTTAAACCAGTGTGGTTGTGAAATTTGGTAAGTCTTGAGCTGCATTACTTATTATGTCAAGTCATCATATGTCTTCTTACTGTGCACTTCTGGATTTCAAGATCGGTTTGTGTGCTCTGGGAACATCATTGGTAAGTATTACTATCTTATACTTATAAAATTTGTATATTGTAATCCTTTTTTTTAAAATTGGTAATTGATACCTATTTTTTACCGCTGCACATGCACAAGAGCCTCCCAATGCATTCCTATGGGAAAACATTGGATTGGCTGAGATCAATTCTGATGATCTCCACCAAGGAGTCGGATTGGGAGTGGAGCAAGCACAAGTGTACCCGCACAGCACTGTAATTAAGGTTAGAGGGTTGGTGAGATTGCAGCTGCTGAACGGAGGAAACATTTGTGTTCAAGGAAACTTCTAAACCGAACTAGGAGGAACTGTCCTAAGGGAAATCGTGAGTTTGTCACGGGAGGTTAACTCTAGAACAGGGTCTCTGACTTGGACCATAGTCGGTGGGCAGGAGGCCAGCTTCCACACTCCTCTAATAGTTCATGGCAAATGTCCATGTTAGAGGGCGTTTGTCACACTCTAGATACGCTATCATTATTGTGGTTGCAGGGTGATAAGGAAACCTCTAATAGATCCTCTGAACCAATACCGAGGGAAATTACCAGTTTATTTATTGCAGCAAGGCAGCCTAACAGTCATCAGGAATCATATTTAAACGCTGAAGAATACGAGGGATAGCAAGCTCCTGAGAAAGTCTCCCGAGATGAAATGAGTTGAGCAGAGTGAGGTGTATAAACTAATCCCGAGGTCCGGTTGCAGCAGTGGAGTTCCAAGCCTGGGCCCAAGAACATCTTTAAAGTGTGGACTAAGCTACATTGGATAGATTTGGTGGGATTGTGCCTTTTGGTACTATGCGTTTTTGCACATTCATTTAAGTACATGCCATGTTCTCCATGTGAGTGAATTTATTTGTTTATGCATTAATTCTTTGTTAAAGGTTACACTATTATATGTTTTCTTTTCTCTTTCATGAGGACTTATCGAAGTTGGTAATTATAAGAGCACAGTAGTGACTGTGGCGCCTTGATCTCCTTGGTCTTTTACGTATTTTTAATAGGAGATTTGGTGCAGACCATAGGATACTCTATAAAATGACAACAGCATAGTAAGAGCGGATGTGAATAACAGTAAATTAGAAGTTTTACTTTGAAAACCTGAGTTATTAGGACCTCTGTTATTTTTTATCCCTTTTGGTATTATCTGTTGTTGGTGTAACTAAAATGCACTGTGACTATTTTTTGCTCATAATAAATATTCCTTTATTAAGTTCTGCCTTTGTCTGGTAAAGAATCACATTACCTGAAGAGACTAATTAGTGCTTTGCAATTGCTTAAATATTGTGCCAAGTTATATTGGGTGTTTTTTTTTTTTCTTTTTTGACATTCTTTATTTGTATGTAGTAAGGTTACAATACAGGTCAAATCATATCAAAAGACACGGTATAACAGGTTTCGTAAGGCCCCTAAACCTTATGCCCAACAATATTTGTAGGGTTTATTCCTAGGTTTCCCCCCCTCTCCACCCCCCCGCCGTATTAGCTCCCTCCCCCCCACCAACCCCCCCCATCCCCACCAGTCTTGATCAGGCCTCATTTCTCCGTTTCTTAGGCCTAGTGATCTTAGTAGACTTTTATGTTGGACCTGCCTTTTAGAGGGGAACACCATTCCCCGACCAACCCCGAGCCTATTTGCCTTATAGAGTGGGCCGGGACCGCTGTGGCTTGCCTTTCGTCCGGCGTTTAGCAAGTGTTCCACCATGTGCGTGGGCATATATTGTAGTTGGCGAGGTGCAGGACCTTGTTTGGCTTGCAGTGGGAGTGAAGCTCCTCTGGCTCGCGCAGGGGGTGGTGGTCCCCTGGGTCCAGATGCGGTCCCCGCGAGCCCCCCCTCGGTGGTATTCTGTGTCGTTCGGGTGTAATGCCCGGGGTCCGGCACCCCCCCCCCTCTGATGAGTTGTTAAATTTAACCATGGCCGGGCTGTCTCCGGCCTGCCTGCTATCTGTGGCTGTCATGTGTTTACTCCAGTCAAGGTCCCCTTTCCTCCCCTGTCGGTCACCTTCGCTTCGTCGTTGAGGCATGTGGAGAGAGAGAGAGAGAGAGTGAGAGAAGAAGAGGAAGAAGAGAGGAGGGAAAAAAAAAAAACGGGGGGGAAGGGAGGGGAAGGTCCCGCGCGGCCGCAGTCCAACCTCCTCCCACGCTACTCCGCCTCCTCGTCTGGCCTCAGACGGTCCGCCCTCGGCCGCCCCCACCTCCGGTCCGAGCTGTAGGAGATCCACGGTGTCCACAGGCGAGTGCAGCGGTCTTGCGTGCCCCTGAGTTCTGCCGTAAGAATTTCCATGTTATAAAGTTCATCGACTTTTTCTACCCACTGAGTAATGTTTGGGACAACTGGCGATTTCCATCTGGCGGGGATGAGGCTTTTGGCTGCGTAAGAAAGTGTCTGATAAGGGTTTTCTTGTAACGCCCCAGGGGTATCTGAGTGTGGTTTAAAAGCATAGGGAGGGGCTCCATGGGGATGTCTTCCCCCAGGATGTCCACCACTTTGTCATGGATCTGTTGCCAGAAGGGGGCTATCCGAGGGCAAGACCACCACAGGTGTAATGCCGTCCCTTCGGCGATGTCACATCTCCAACACTTGTTGTCGGGGGTGACCCCCATGGCATGGAGTCGTACGGGGGTCCGGTACCAGTGCGTCAATAGTTTATAATGAAGTTCCTGCATTTTAGAACTAAGTATCCCCTGGTGGGACAGAACATGTATTTGCTCCCATTGTGGTTCCGTTAAGGTGACGCCTGTGGCTTGTTCCCACTTTGAGTGGAAGTGTGCCGGGGGACCCGCATCGGCACCCAGGAGCATGGCATATAGGGTCGATATCCCGCGTGTCGGGTGCGATCCCCCTTCACATAGCGTTTCAAAGTGTGTGAGGTCTCGGTGGATCAAGTGTTTCCCCTGAAGTGTGGCATAGTACCGGCGTATCTGGTGGTACCTAAATCGTAAGATCCCTGTCTCCCTACTCTGGCCCAGCATGTCTTCCAGCGGCCTTAGGGCTTTATTAGCACACCATGCCCGAAGGTATTGTTTCGTCCCCTCCCCCAGTCCCTCAATATCCCCCTGTGTCAGGCCTCCCGCCAGGTCTGGGTTGTGTATCACAGGTGTCAGGGGGGCCGGGTTCGTGGTGAGCTGCAGCTTGAAACGGATGGTTGTCCATGTTCTCAGTGTCGCTCCTATGAATGGGTGGTTCCGCAGGAAACCATCGCATGTCGGGTTTTGTATCCATACCATCGATGGAATACGCCCCCTGGCCTGAAGCCGCTCCATATGGACCCATTGTTTGTCCGAGTCCAGGACATGCCATTCTATAATTCGTAAGAGGTGTGTCGCTTGGTAGTAACCGAGTAGGGACGGTAGGGCTGTTCCACCACGATGTCTCGGGAGTATCAGTTGTGTCTTTCTTACCCTCGGCGGTCCCTTCGCCCAGACGAATCGCAGTATAGCCGAGCCCAAGGTGTTGAAGTATGTTCGCGGGATCGCGATTGGAATGGCCTGGAAAAGATACAGCAAGCGTGGCAACAGATTCATCTTTATTGTGTTGATCCTCCCAAACCACGACACGCATAGGCGTCCCCATCTGAGCAAGTCCACACGGAGCGTTTGGAGAATCGGGAGAAAGTTTTCTTGATAGAGTTTCGTCAGGTCTCTAGTTAACCAGATCCCGAGATATTTTATGCGCTGGTGGCACCATTTAAAGGGGAATTCTCCTGTCAGCCGTTCGACCAACTCGGGGGGTATAGAGATGGGGAGGGCCTCTGACTTGTCCGTGTTCAATTTGAAGTTAGAGATCCGTCCGAACCGCTCAAAGGCCGCCAACAGGTTGGGCAAGGTGATCAAAGGGTTGCTCACGAAGAAAAGGAGGTCGTCCGCGTAGGCCGCCACCTTGTGCGTGCCGTCCCCCAGGTTGACCCCCGCAATGCCCCCGTCCTGTCTGACCGCCTCAAGAAATGGCTCCAGAGAGAGGGCAAACAGGAGGGGGGAAAGCGGACATCCCTGGCGTGTCCCGTTACGTATCCGAATCGGTGTGGACAGGACCCCATTAATGCGTAGTTGAGCAGTCGGTTCCGCATATAGCGCGGAGATCCACTGCAGTATATTCGGTCCGAACCCCATTGCCTTAAGTGTTTCTAGGAGGTATCGCCAGTCCACCCGGTCGAAGGCCTTCTCCGCGTCAGTGGAGAGGAGCAGGCCCCCGACCGGCGAGTTCCGTTGCATGTGCATGATGTTTAGCGCTCTGATTGTGTTATCTTTGGCTTCTCGACCGGGTATGAATCCGGTCTGGTCCGGGTGGATCAAGGATGGGACTATGCGGCCCACTCGCGCCGCCAGGACCTTCGTAAACAGCTTGAGGTCTGCGTTTAGTAGAGAAATGGGTCTATAGCTCGCACAGGCCGCCGGGTCTCTTCCCTCTTTCGGGATAACCGCGATCGTTGCCAGTAGGGTGTCCCCCGGTAGGCGTGCCCCCTCAAGGAGAGAGTTCATGCCCGCCAGCAATTCTGGTAGGAGGACATCCCCAAAGGCCTTGAGGTATCTGGCGGGGAGGCCGTCCGGTCCCGGGGCTTTAAGTTGTGTGTTCTTCAGGGCTGCCGTCAGTTCCTCGATCGTAATGGGGGCATCAAGGTCTTCCCTTTGTTCTTGCGTGAGAGTCCGGTGTACGTGGTTTTCCAGGTACTCCCTCGTCAGTCTCGCCGTCCTTTCCCGGCCCGTGCTTGTCTCATCTTTCTGGATATCGTATAGGCCGGTGTAGAAGTTCCGGAATTCCTCGACTATTTTGTCTGGTACCTGCGTGAGGGCGCCGCTCTTTGTCCGCAGCTTAGTGATCTGGTTCACGCGGCGTTGTTGTCTCAGCATTCTGGCTAGCATACGACCGCATTTGTTGGAGTGTTCATAGTAATAGCGATGGGCTTTTTTCATCGTGTAGGCGAGGTTTTTCGTGAGCAGATGTTGTAGGTCTCGGCGGGCCTCTCGGAGCGCATGGTACGCCTCTTCCGTCGGTGCGGCTTTGTGGTCTTGTTCTAAGCTGGCGACTTTCGTATATAGCTCTTGTAGCTGCCTACTGTGTTCTTTCTTCCGCGTTGTACATACCTTGATGAAATGTCCCCGAATGACGCACTTATGGGCCTCCCACCGAATCATTGGGGAGGTGTCAGACGGATCGTTCTCATTGAAGTAATGACGGAGCGCTGTCGTAGCGTCCGCTATGGTGACCGGGTCGCTAAGTAGTTGTTCATTCAGTTTCCATTGGCGTCTTGTGGGTTTATGCAGAGGCGAGGTCAGCTGGGCCAGTACCGGCGAGTGGTCCGACCAAGCGTCCAGTAGGATTTCACATTTTTGTAATAGATTCAGGTATTCTTGTGCAATAAAGACATAGTCTAAGCGGCTGTAGCCGCGGTGCACCGGGGAGAAGTATGTAAAATCCTTGGCCTCTGGGTGCATGACTCTCCAGCAATCCGCAAGGCTAGCCGTTCTGAGTGCCAATTGTGTCGCTTTGATGCTTGCGTCCGGCAGCGAGCACCGTCCCCGGGAGGTGTCCGTCCGCGGATCCAATGGTATGTTGAGGTCCCCGGTTAGAATTAGGAGCCCCTCCCTGAAGTGTTCCAGCGATTTTAGGGTTCTGGTGAGAAAACTGTGTTGGGCGCATATATGGAGGCAAAGGTGTAGCGCCTGTCTGCAATGGAGCCCTTGAGGAAGATGTAGCGTCCCAGTGGGTCGGCCTTGATCTCCGCACACACGAAGGGGACATGCGTGGCGAAGAGAATGGCCACTCCTGCCTTCTTGGCTTCCCTATGGTTAGCAAAATATCCAGTGGGGAACCGTCGGTCTCGGAGGGCCGGTCCTGTCTGTCCGCGGAAGTGTGTCTCCTGGATGAAGGCCACAGAGATTCTATTGGACCAAAGTGCCCGTAGTAAATGTGATCTCCGTTCCGGCAGGTTCAGGCCCCGGACGTTGTTGGACCAGATGCGCAGAGGAGCCGGGGCGAACCCCTCTCGGCCCCGGGAGGTCATGAGAGCTGGTGCCGCCGCGCAGGGGCGGGGGGCGAGGTGTCAGGGGCGGGAAAAAAGAAGGGAAAAAAAAAAGGGGGGGGAGGTGGTCGTAGGTAGAGGGTCGTCAGTAGACCTGTTATAGAATAACAGAAAGAGTTAAACAAGGTGAGAACTATGTACAGTGTCAGACTCAGCTGTCTAGGTCGGTGAGTCAGTAAGGGGTGGACTGTCCCACGTAAATATGTCCCCCCTTGTCGCTCCCCCCTAGTGTGTTATACAGTATGTCTGTGGGTACGTGAGCGTCCGCAGGCGCAGGACTGTGAAGGTGGGTCTAAGAGTCGTCACTGTCAGCTCCCCCTTAGCCCGTGCTGTCCCGCAGTAGTCCTCCTCTTTCCGGAGGCTATACCTCGGTGCCTGGTCATGCCCCTGTCCCATCCCCCAGGTGGACCCCCCCCCAGGGTGGCAGTGCAATTGATATCCGCGTATCGCGGCTGCCGTTTCCAGCGTACCGTGGCAGCCCAGCTACCCAAGCAGACCCTATGCCCCTCTCGCCTCTGGCAGACTTTACTCGTTTGGCGTCCCGCCCCCCCCCATCCCCGTGACCCCAGGCCACCGCTCCGGTGCGGGCTAAAGGCCCTTCTCCCCCTGTCTCTTTGCTTTCCTTCCCCGTCTCGCCCCTGGCTCAGGGTGTGTGCTCTATGGGCTGGTGTTGAGTGGGCTCGGTAGTGCAGAGGCCATCCCTCCTCACATCCCCGTGGAGGACATTTACTCGTCTCCCTCACGTCTCGCATGGGTGCAGTGGGGAGCTGCGGGGCTTCCCGCCTCCCCTCCAACCCAGTATGGGGGGGCAGGTTGCTAAGTGTCCCGAGAGAAATGCAGGTCCGCTCCGTGCTCTCCCCTCCCCCCACCTCGTAGCCATCAGTCCCCCAGGACCTTGCCCATGTCCTCCCCCACTTCCAGGGTGCAGTCCTCGATTCCCTCCCCCAGTGCCCTCCCAAAGCCCAGTGAGCCCCCTACGACTCCTTGAGCCTAAACTTTACCAGTGTAGCAAGTCCAGGGGCAAAATGGCGGGCCAGTCCCAACTCCAGGAGCGGCAGTCCGGGCCCCGGCAGGGGAAGAAGCGACACCCCATGTCCATGAACTCCCTTTCAGGTTGGGGTGAGCCGCGACTTGTGAGGTGCCTACGCCTCCCACCCCACCTGGCTAACCTACTCCCTCTATGGGCAGGTGCAGACCCGTATCCCGGCTCCCCCCCAGTACCTTGCGGCCCGGCTGATGCCAGGCCGCGAGTGCTCCTCTCCTCACTCCTCCACGCCTCTCGGGCCTCCCAGCATCCTCTGTGCCCGCTCCCTTCTCCTCGGGGGTGACGGTGGGCGCCCTTCCTCCGCCACTTCGTGCAGCTGTGCGAGCGGGGTCTCCAGAAGCCAATTCCTGATGCGGATAGGTGGTAGGCACAAGGCTCTTAAGGCTCGGGGCACATCTTCTGGCCAGCGCATTTGGATCCAGGCATTCCCCTGCCTAATCTGGAGGCTGAAGGGGAATCCCCACCGGTAGGCTATTCCCTTCTCCCGCAGGGTCGTCGTTAAGGGCCTGAGAGCCCGTCTGGCGTCCAGGGTGAGGCCGGACAGGTCCTGGTATAGGGCCACGCTTGCTCCCCGGAAGGGTATGTCCGCCATTCCTCGGGCAGCTGTCATGAGGCGTTCCTTAAGGCTGTAGTCATGGAGGCAGCACAGGACGTCTCGCGGCCTGCCATCAGGCCTCTGCGGCCCCAGGGACCTATGTGCCCGGACCAGCTTGATCACCGCCGGGCATTCCTCTCCAAGGATCTGCCGGAAAAGGGCCTGCAGCGTGTCTTGTAGTGGCGCTGTGTCCGGTTCGGGTAGCCCCCGAATCCGGATATTTTGACGTCTGCTGCGGTTCTCTAAATCTTCAACTTGGCGCCGAAGGGAGAGGAGCATGTTCCCCTGGCGCGTGGTAGCGAGTTCAGCCGCTTGGTGCTGCGCGCGGCTTGCTTGGGCCTCCGTTTCCAGTGCCTCCACTCTTACTTCCACTGATGAGAGATCCTTCCTCAGGGCTGCAACTTCCTCTTTGATGGCTGCCCGAAGTTCTCTCAGTAGCCCCCCTGTATCTGCCTTGGTGAGCATCTGTGCGGAGATCATTGCCAGCTCCTGTTTAATCAGAGCGAGTGTGTCATCCTGCGTGCCGTCCAGGGTGGGCTCTCCCGCGCTTTCACTGCCCGGGGAGCCGGGCGCCATGTTGTCAGGCGGTCGGCTGCAGCTTTGTGTGCTCGGAGTGCACACGAACTCATCAAGCGTCCCGGTCGGGCGGTGCGGGGTACCCCCCAGGGTGTGGGGCTTCTTGTTCCGGACCATGTTTGTCGGGGTAAGTGCCGGTTTTCGCGTGTTTTAGGGGCCAGGGGGAGCGGAGCTCAGGAATTAGGCGTCCTGTCGCATGCTCGGCTCGGCCACGCCCTCCTTTGTTTTTTTCTTAACCCCTTCAGGACGGAGTCAATAGTACACTTTCTGATCAAAACAAAACGTAAAACAAAAACTGGAATTTGCGCTATATGTCTGTTCAACCGTAATTCACCGCTGTCACATTAAGTGCACCCACACTTATTATATATCATTTTGTTCAGGAGAAACAGGGCTTTAATTTATCATTAACTATTCATATATGGAACATCATCATTTATTATGAATAAAATTTTAAATGTGAATTTTTTATTTTGTTTTATTTGTATTTCCGTCTGACATTTTAGCTATGAATGTCATAATACTGTTAGGTTTTAATGCAAAAAATTTGCAAGATTAGTAATGTTACCTTTGAGACGTAACCCAGGAATGAGAATTACCCCCATAATGGCATACCATTTGAAAAAGTAGACAACCCAAGGTATTGAAAGTGGGGTATGTTTAGTCTTTTTTAGTAGCCACTTAGTCACAAACACTGGCCAAAGTTAGCGTTCATATTTGTTTTTGTGTATAAAAAGCACAAAACTAATATTTGGCCAGTGTTTGTGACTAAGTGGGGACTGTCTGACATTTCAGACAGTCCCCCTGCTGGCAGATCCACAGCCAGCTACAGGGGGCCATGTGATCGCTCTTTGAGAGCGATCACATGGCCCCCGGGGGCCTCATTTGCCAGGGGAGGACTGCCTGGGCTGTGAGGCAGTCCTCCCGAAGCGGAGCGCCGGGTAGGCAAGTATCCCGGCCGCTCCAGGGCTCAAAGCCTTTACAGCGTTCTATGCCGCCGCAACGGCTTTAAAGCCCATTTAATGCGGGACGGCATAGAACGCTGTAACGGCATTAAGGGATTAAGTTACCTGGGGGAGCAAGGCACCCCATTTATAAATGGTCTTGGTGGTGGCAGCATTAAGATAGTAATATTTATATTATTATGGTTAGGTGTCGATGGTGTTAAGTGGGACTTTTTCATTATTTCCAGACTAGTGCAGACAAATAGTGAACTTTAACCCTTTCACCATCAAAACTGTCATGCTCACTCTTGAAGTAGGGTGCGTTGGTTACAAACTGATGGGATAACTAAAAATATTCGTTTTGTACCAGATTTTCACCTTTTTGTACCAGACTCCCCATCAACAGGCCTGGCGGGGCATCTTTTGTTTCAGCTTCTACCTCCGGGAGAGGGGGAGCTAGTGCCACTTCTGCGCAGGGAGATAATCGCACATGCTTTATTTGCAACCAAGCGGGGCACATCAGTCTTACTTGCTCTGGGAAATGGCAGCCAGCATCCTTAGCTGGGGAAGGACGCTCCTCAGAACCACCATCTGCTGTGTTGTTTGTTACCAAGTCAGAGGGCAGCAACAATGTGAATCTGCAACCTGTGAAAGTTGGAAAGGAGGTAACTGTGGGACTCAGGGGCATATGTGACTCTTGTGCGTCCAGAGCTAGTGCCCTCTGAGGACTTCCTGGGCAGGACTCTAGCAGTTAAAGGAAGTGGGGGAGTATGTCTTATAGTGCCAATGGCATAAGTTGTTTTGGATAGGAGAGCGGGGAAGGGTTTCAGAGATGTGGGGGTAGATGAGAATATCCCTACAAATGCATTACTTGGTACTGACTTAGGTAGATTGTTATCCCCGTATGTGCCTGAAAGTAATGCGTATTAGCAACCCAAGCCTCAAAGGGGCCCTACTGTGCAGAGGGCAGCATGTAAAAGTGTACGTAGCCTACCTTGCTGGGGGGAGAGTATAATGAGCATGTGTGCGTGTCTGTTCTCCCTCACTTTCACTCCATGTCCTCACACAGAGGTTTCATTGGTAGAAAAGTCGACCCATCCACAGTCTGCCAAAAGTGAAGGGCACGGACACACTCAGCCTGTGGATCCAGGGAGGATGGCCGCAGGGGCGCATACTGTTAGGGGAACCAGGAACATTGTCAGCTTATCACCATCACTCCTCCCACATATACCCTGTGGCGGAACAAACCTCGCCACTGGGCATTGGAGAAGACTGATTGCTAGCCTCCTGCCATGTGACTATGGCCCCTGGGATGTATTGCCTTCTCTCCTGTACTGCTGAGGATTGTTACCAACTAGGTGGATTTGGCTATGGAGCTTGTGTAGTGCCCTCTGTTGGTAGCAACAGTAATATGCACTACCTGAATAGCAAGACTAGTAATTTGCATATTCGGGTAGATTTGCATATCGCTAATTCTGCATACAGGAGAGACATTTTGTGTTAATTATGGTCTTTCCCACCAATTTATAAATATGTGATTATGTTCTAATAAGTCACTGTATGTTGCCTGCTATGATATGACCGTTTGTAATTTTATTGAGTTTTCACAGCAATGTTAATGTAATGACCATACCCTCAGTCTGAGTCCTGTCTCTTATTGGGGGAATCTGCTACAAGTAATTGCTATGCTTGTCATTACTAAATCACTACTAAGCTCCTGAGCGGGGGTCCTAAATACAAATTGGGGGGGGGGACCTAATGTCCTTCCCCCCCCGGCCACCCACCCCTAAGCGGTGGGTGGGGGCCCTAAATACAAATGGGGGGAGCCTAATGTCCTCTCCCCTGGCCCCCAACCCTGAGCAGAGAGTGAGGGCACTAAATACAAATTTAACCCCCCCCCCCAGGTGGCTAGGGGTCCCCAAACCCCTAGTCACCCCCTGCCCCCAAAAAATGAAGCCCTACCTCACCCTAAAAATAATGAGGGGGGACCTTTAACTAAGTACCTGTAAAAATAAACTTACCATTTGATTTCTTTCTTCTAAAATCTTTTTTCAGCCCCAAAAAAGGGCAAATAAAAATCCTTAATAACCGACGCAATAAAAAACTGACACAGACTGAGCTCTGTAGGGTGGGGGGGGGGGAGGTTTATAAAGAAGATTTTAAAAGAAAGAAAACATCAAATGGTAAGTTTATTTTTATAGGTACTTAGATAAAGGTCCCCTAGTAACCTGGGAGGGGGGTTAAATTTGTACTCAGGGGTGGGGGCCAGGGGGGAGGACATTAGGTCCCCCACCCACTGCTCGGCGGGAGGACATTAGGTCTCCCCTCCCAATTTGTATTTAGGGCCCCCACCCACAGCTCAGGGGTGGGGTCCAGGGGGGAGGACATCAGGTGTCCCCCTTATTCTTGTTTAAGGCCCCCACCCACCGCTCACGGGAGGGCCAGAGGGGAAGAACATTAGGTCCCCCCCTTATTCTTGTTTAGGGCCCCCACCCACCGCTCAAGGGTGGGGGGTCAGGAGGGAGGGCATTAGGTCCCCCCCCAATTTTTATTTAAGGCCCCCTCCCACCGCTCAGGGGTGGGGGCCGGTGGGGAGGACAATAGGTCCTTCCTCCTTTTTTTACTTTAGGGCCCCCAGCCGCCTCTCAAGGGTGGGGGCCGGGGGTGGGGAGGCAATAGGTCCCCTCCCCCCATTATTTTACTTAAGGGCCCCCACCCACCGCTCGGGGGTGGGAGGACAATAGGTCCTCACCCTTTTTTTTACACTTTAGGGCCCCCCGCCGCTTTGGGGGGGGGGCAATAGGTACCCTCTTTAGTTTAAAAGCCCCAACTCGCACGTCACGGGTGGGGGCTCAGGAGGGGGGACTTTTTTTTTTTTAAATAGACATGCCCCTATTTGCGATATAGCAAGTAGGGGTATAGTTTACTAATACTAAGTAATCTTTACTTAGTATTAGTAAATTTGGCTAAAAGACCAATTCAGGTCTTTCAGCCTTTTAGTAGATAGCTCCCTAATACCGTGGGAATAAGGGAGTTACCTACTTAATCATTCCTGTCATTACATTGACTGGCCACGTAACTTACATTTTATATGAATGTGTGTTACTTGATTGTTGTAAGTGTTGCAAATGCTTACAGCTGAATCCTGGCTATGTTTGTATACTGTTTTTATTTAACATTGTATGCAATGTAACATTCTTCTTCTTTCACTGGGTAAGTATATTAGTACTTAGGCAATACTGTGCTTCGGCACTTCAGCAATTCGGCACTACTACACTTTAGAAATTCAGTAATTTTGGCGCTTTGGGACTTCAGCAATTCAACTATTTGGACATTCGGAAGCACACGAAATTCGGCCGAATTTTCATTCAGACCGAAACGAATTGCACATGTCTAATTGCAGCACTTCGAGGAAGTGATCTCAGAACACTTCCTCCCAACACTTGTGAATGGGAACCTGGAATAGAGTAGTCCACAGCTGCAATCATGGCTCCTGCCCTTGACCTGCACCTGGTCTGACCAGTCCCCATTGTACCCCAGGAAAGCCACCCACCCTGTACACAGAACTGGAAAATAAGCCTCCCTGTCATACAAATAGACCACAACCAAACATAATCCCCACAAACAAAACACCACTGACAATCCACATACATGCACACAACTCCACAAGCAGCCCCAAACATGCATACACACCTCCAAGCATATTATGTGACATTTATTTTTATATATATATATATATATATATATATATATATATATATATAAAAAAACACACCCTTCCACAAGTAGTCCCCATACACAGCCCACATTCATAGGTTTCACACACACAATATCACAAGCTACTCATGAACATATACAATATAACAATCCACATCTGCACAAATACAAAGCTGCAAAGCAGCTGCAAAGCACCCATACAAAACACAAACAGAGCATGGCGACATACCTCAAGTAAAAAAATTAAATAAATAAAATTATATATATGACCGGTCTGCCAAGGGACTTTAATATCTTGTTTTGGTACAGTACTACTAAAAGTCTGCCTACCCCTGGACTAGAGAATTGATGTCATTTTTTTTTTTTTCCCTTTTTCATTTTAAATTCTTTATTTTTATTGGTTTACCGAAAATAAAATAAATTCATATTAGATAAGTTAATGAAGATCAAGCATTTAGAAAAATCCAGAGTACTCCAGTAACAAGCATATCAATAATACAGCATTTTAGAACGTATGAGTACTCTAAATTCCAGTCGAACCGTGTACACCCATGAAATTAGATCGAGGGGCAAATTAATAGGAGATCTTTCCGAGAGAATCTGAGGAGAGGTCAAGTCCTTCATAGTAGTACAGGTGATAGGGAAGTGGGTAAGAGTGTGTTTTCAAATTTACACTGTAGGAATAATGTTGACCTGATAGTGGTGTTGGCAATGATTACAATAATCCACTTATAAATATTGGATCTTAAAGCGACACTTATGCCGAACTTACTTTTCCCTAATCGCTTCCTCTGTCAGGATCTTTCTTCATGTCTGATTTAGTTTTCTTTAAAACACAAGACAAAGTAGGGACTATGTTTTATGTAGGTTTCCTACGCCTGACCATCTATGACCAGCGGAGGAGCAAAGTGTGCTGTAGTGCCTGTGGTCAGAGTAATTTTCCCACAATTCTCACCTTTCCTTCGTGTTCTTGCGATGCCTTCTTTCTGTATTCCTGAATGCCGTCAAAACTACAGAATTAGAGCAGTTCGTCCATTCGTGTTAGGACGGAATTCGGGAATTTGTTTGGATCGGAATTCCATTAGAATTAATAAAATTCCGATCCGTGCTGCTGCATCTTGCAGCCGCTTAGTAAAAAGCTCCCTAATACCGTGGGATTTAGGGAGCAATCTACCAAAAGGCTGAGAGATTGTAGTGGACCCTGGGTAACCCGGCTGGTTACCTCCGCTATTAATAAATGGAAAGGCCCATGTCACTCCCATTAACTGGACGACACACAGTTCCAGTACAACAACTTTATTGGCCACACGCGGCTTTATACTTTCCCCATGCAAGGGGTGGAACACACACGAAGACAATGTCCCCTACCAGGGGTCGTATAACAGAACCGGAACCCCAGTCTCTTTGTCCCCTCCCCCTAAATGAAAATGGGGGGACGGGGGACGGGACCTATTGTCCTCCCCTGGCCCCTACATTTGAGCGCCGGGTAGGGGGCCCTAAATGAAAATGGGGGACGAGTGGGGGATAAATGTCAAAATAATGAGAGTGCTCAGACAGGTAAATGAAGAGACTGACCGGTAAGTCTCTACATTTACCTGTCACAGCACTCGGATTGGTTGGTTTGGAATCCAACCAACCAGAGTGCTCCAAGTCATTTTACACCGTGTGGGAAAGTTCTTTGGAATTTTTCAAAGCTGTGTCAAATTTACTCTGAGCACCTGTAACAGACTTACCTGTCAGTCTCTTCATTTACCTGTCAGAGCACTCTCATTGGTTGGCTTAAACCAACCAATCAGAGCACTCTAAGCCAAATTGCAGGGAGTGGGAAGCCTTTCCCTGCCCTGCGTAGCTCAGTCTGTCCTCGCTGAGTGAAGACGGGTTTATTTTTTTTCAGCTGATTTATTTTATTTGATAAGTTCGACGGGTATTATGGGTTTTTTACTTGGGGCTGAAAAAAGAGTTTTAGAAAAAAGACATCAAATGGTAAGTATTTTATTTATTTACAGGGATTTAGTTTTATTGTTTCTCCCCTCACTATTTTTAGTGGTGGGGGGTGACTAGGGGCTTGTGGACCCATAGTCACCTGGGGGGAGGGGGATTCTTGACATTTAGCCCCCACCCATTGCCCATGGGTGGGGGCCGGAAGCCAATAGCCGCCCCCCCATTTTTTTATAATTAGGGCTCCCACCCGTCGCCCATGGGTGGGTGCCAGGGGGAACAATAGGCCCCCCATTGTTATTAGGGCCTCCATCTGCCTCTCATGGGTGGGGGGGGTGGGGGGTGGGAGCCAAGGGGGACCCTATGTCCCCCATTTACTTGCATAGCCCCCATTCGCGGGGCACGGGTGGAGTCTGGTCAAGTTACTATGTCCCTCCCGCTAGTTAATAGATGTCCCACCATGGTGCTACAGGTTGGAAGGGGTGTGGGGGGTTTAACAACAGTGAGCAGCCACAGGCTGATCACTGTTTAGTAGACATGCACCTACTCACAGCATAGCGAGTAGGGGCATTTGGGAGATTTCAACCTCCTTTATGCTAATATGGGGGTCATATGGATCCCCATAGAGTGAGGGAGTACATGGGGTGCTTAGGAGCACTGCTCCCTGCCGCTTCTATTTTTACATTTTACAAGGAGGGTGCTGCGCGCCGGTAGCTCCCTCCTTATTAAAAACTGAACAAATGAACACCGATATTTAGTGTTGGGTTGTTCGTCTGAAATTTCTATTCATTCATCTTTCTGACTAATGGGCATTCACTATGGGAATTTCGTCCAAGTGTTTAACTGGGCACGCACAGGAATTTCACAGCGCTATCTAGTGTCGGCAGATGACGTGTCCCACAGGGATTCATCCACCCACACAAAGATGGCGGCGCCCAGGACCTAGGTCCTGGTGGAAAATAAAGATTATAAAACAGGTAACAGGGGCATTTTGGAGTGACTAGGGGGACAATTGGACGTAGTGGAGTCGGGAGGGTTAAAAACTAAATAAAGCTGGATTCGGCCATGACAGTTCTGCTTTAATGATGCCTTTACCACTAAGCTCTGAGGTTAATACAAGGGTAAAATAGGGGAAAGTAGATTTATAAGGAAGGGTAAAGTTGAGATACTAAGCAATGAGGTTTTAAATTAATGAGGTGGTAAAGCGGTAACAGGAGGAGCAATTAGGCTTCTCTACTACTTTAACAAGCAGGCACCATGCGATGGCTACTTACCAAGACCCTAACAGTGATGAGTGTTGTACACTACAGTCACATATAGACAGCACAAATATGAAATATGAACATAACACTGGTTAGTTTGCTGCCAGGATGGAGGATTACTAGAAATGAGGCCCACTGTGAGATGGAGTACCGTGATGCAAACATGGTCAATAACTGGTACAATCATGGCTTAAAAGGTCTGCCTGTCATGTACTAGCCCACTATGCAAGCTCTGAGCCGATACCTATTTTTAAGGCATATAGACCCTTGCTAGTATAATATATGTTTACAGAATGGTAAACCCTGGAACAGGTTTGATACATAGTTTTCGACGCAAGCTATGTCATGTAGGGATTACATACATTGAGTTCTCGTTGCATGCTATGCCATGTAGTGTTTACGTACAGTATCTTTGATGCAAGTTATGCCCTGCTGTTTTTATGTACATGGTATCTTTTGACGCAACCTGAGACATGATGTATTCTTTTGATAACCACATTAATGCAAAATTGAAACACAGAAAAAGAAAAACTAAAATAAAGATTGTCAAAAAACAAACAAAAAAACAGCAGGAGCAGGACTAGGTGCTCGAGATTACACCCAGTTATAAGAGGTAAGTAATAAGAGAGAAGGAAGTAGAATAAAAAATTTAAGAGAGAGTGCCTTTGTATTCGGTGATAGAAAAGAAGCAGAGCGCCGTATCAAAATATTAAACTTTAACATTTTAACAAATAAAAGGGATCCATTCCAGCCAAGGAACACAAACAATATGAAAGTATTTAGGGGTGTCATGTAGTTATGATGTAAATGTATTCATTTCCACCGTTTCTCAGGTTTTCCTCACAATTGTAGCCATGGAAGGAATCTTTATGGTACTGGCACTGCAGAGTTAGATGCTACATAAATAACATTGTATATGCCAGTTTCTTGTGTGTTATGCAAATTTTGCGGGAAGCAATGACCTCCCAAATACCTGACTAGTTGGATGGTTCTTTAAAGGGTCCCAAATCCTTTTCCCACGCAGCTATGAAGGCAGTGTGATTAGAGCGGAGTGTGCAACACAGTAAGTGTAAATATATGATATCAGACCCTTTCTAGCTGGGGAACTTAAGCACACATCTTTGAAGTGGGTCAATTGGGCCATACCTGCTTGCAGGATTATCGCTGAAGATGTGAAGCTATGGAGTTGTAAAGTTGTAAGGGATGTGTGGTCGGGTATCTCAGAAAAGTCTATTGTTCTGTCGACAGCCTTTAATATAAAGATTCCTCAGCCTGGTGCTGTCCATATCTTCAAAGTATAAATCCAGACGAGAATAGTGTGTTATGTAGGATGGGCATGAGAAGAGAAAGAAAATAAAGTCAACATTTATTTTTTAAACAATCTCCAAGTCCAGTATTGTTGGGAGTTCAAAGGAGGCAGTGGGTCGTGTTATTTTGGAAGCCAGAGAGGTGGTCCTAGCCAAAGATCAGGTGTTCTTAATCTACCCCTAGATGGAATCACAGTCATAGGAAAAAGAAAGTACACCTTCTCTGAATTCTATTGTCTTATTTATTAGTAAATAATAATAATAATAATAATAATAATATACATTCACCCCAAGGTCAGACCGTGCAATGCTCAGAGAAAATGCAAAACATGCAAGAGTTACTCTCTCAGACTCTACAGGCCTCAATTAGATTGTTAAATGTTAAAGTTCATGACAGTACAATTAGAAAAAGACTGAACAAGTATGGTTTGTTTGGAAGGGTTGCTAGGAGAACGCCTCTTCTCTCTAAAAAGAACATAGCAGCATGGCTTAGACTTGCAAAGTTGCATCTAAACAAACCATAGGACTTTTGGAACAGACAATCCCAAAGTGGAGATGTTTGGCCATAATGCACAGCGCCATGTTTGGCAAAAAACAAATACAACATGAGCACAAACACCTCATACCAACTGTCAAGCACAGTGATAGAGGTGTTATGATTTGAGTTTGCAGCAACAAGATCTGGGAACCTTGCAGTCATTAAGTCAACCATGTAGAATAAAGGAAAAAAGGTCCAGGCACTCCTTGGTTCAAGATAAGCACTTTATTAGAACCACAGCAATGTTTCGACCACCTAGGTCTTTATCAAGCTTGATAAAGGTCTAGATGGTCCAAACGTTGCTGTGGTTTTAATAAAGTGCTTATCTTGAACCAACGAGTGCCTGGACCTTTTTTCCTTTATTCTACTACTTTGGGAATCTGGTGTTTGGTTCCAGTACAGTTAAAGCACCCTGGCTCAGACTGATGGGAGTGAGTGCAGTTCCCTACACACTCTATAAGGATTAAGTCAACCACGAACCCCTCTGTATACCAAAGAATTGTAGAGTCAAATGTGAGGCCATCTGTCTGACAGCTAAAGCTTGACCAGAACTGGTCAAACAATACGACAATAATCCCAAGCACACCAGTATATCTACAACAGAATGGCTGAAAGAAAAGAACCAAGGTTTTGCAATGGTCAGTCAAAGTCCAGACCTCAATCTGACTGAAATGCTGTGGCGGTACCTTAAGAGCCTTAACAAATGCCAGCAGACCTCAATGAACTGAAGCAATGATGTAAAGAATAGTGGGCCAAAATTTCTCCACAATGATGTGAGAGACTGATAGTCATACAGAAAATTATTACTTCAAGTTATTGCTGCTAAAGGTGTTTCTACAGCTATTGAATCTCAAGGTGTACTTAGTTTTTCACACATGGCTTTTTGTTAAATCATGACACGGCTATGTCAGGTGTTGTTCATCTAAGGTTGTATGACCTGCTAAGGAACAGAGGATTGTGGTTATGTCCTGATATGTAAAGTCAAAGAGGGTGTACTTTTTCCCCCCATGACTGTATGTGTCGTCAGATTTGCGGATATTGAGTTACATGAAAATAGTAAAGAAAGTTGAGAAGCCCAATGTGAAGAAACTACACCTTTTGTTTCATACCCTTTGATTTTTCTTGTTCGGTAGATAAAACTACCGAACACCAATACCACTCCTGGCTCATTAACTACAAAGCAGACCCCAAATTTACTGCTCTCTCTCTGTATGGCTGCCGTTCGTATAGCCGAAGCCACGTGCAAGATAAAACGGCGGCCATCTTGTTCGCACGAAAGGAGGCAGCGGGACTTGGTTGTCGAGTGTCTGGAACTAAAAATGGACACTCTACTCCCCGAACTCCTTTCACCGACCAGCCAGGGAAGAGCTATTCTATAGGTTTGTTCCCACAAACTAGGGGAACAAACGCTACCTATGAGCCAGGGGAACCGTTCGTGGATTTGTTTGATCTTTAAACTTTTCGAAATGGACCGGCCACACAGTCTAATTTCATGGAACTGTTTCTGGGCAGCCTCACATGAAACTCCTGAATCCCTGAACCGATCTGGGTGATTTTTGAATATGTTGGTCCCCCAGACCACGGCTATCAGGGTATATGACTTTTGTGGGGTTTCCATGGAGTACTTTCTGGGTTTTGTGGAAATGTGTTTTTTTGTATTTCGAGATAACTGAGTTTAGTATAATGCCTGACTCAATTATCTCCTAAGTACAGGGGAAGGATATTATTGTACGTGGGAGTGTCCTGGACCTGA